TGGAGCTAAACAATCACATATAAGCATAACACGAAAAGTGGTATTAGGATATAACATTTTAAAAATAAGCTTTTACATTTATCACATTGCTCACTGAATGATCCCTGTCATACAAGCACACTGTTGACCTTAAAGGAATGTTTATTTTGAGTAAACTTTGGTAACACACAATAGGAAAACAAACTTACCATCAAAGTGCAACACGTGAAGAAATTGGTTTCCAGCTAAAATATGGAAGGTTAAAAACACACTGTTTTGCCATTGATGTAGAACATCTTATCCCCCCATTTGTCATCTGAACCTTTTTTGTTAATCTGACTTCAATACTTAACATTTCCATTCAAGCCTACATTGTGATCTATCTTACAGTGACACCTAAGTATGTCGTATAACCTTGGAACGATTGTTTGAAGAGGAATCCAGAGAAAGTGAGGACATTGAGGATATTAAAAAAACATGATGTGATTGGGAAGGCTTGCCAAATTAGACATGGATTTGTATTGATGTTTTATTTACCCTAAAACCTAACCAGCACTAATATTTATATTTTAAAATGAAGTGAATCAAATATTTTAGTTTATGAAATATGAGCGTGACATAAGGTGTTGCTAAATAAACTTATCAGTGCTCTCTGGTGGACAATCTATCTTTTAGGCCCGTCCACACGAAGACGAAACCGATTTCGAACTGAAGTCGATTTCCAAAAAGTCTTCCGTCCACACGGAATCGGCTCAAGAAATGTGTCCGTCCAAACGAAACCGCTCTAGACGCTGTAGTACATATGCCGGGCCTGTAAGTGGCGCTGTACTTCCGCCACAAATTACACCAAAAGCAGCGAATAAGACCCCAGAGCATGGGCATAGAGTGGCGAAGTCACGCCCATCGACTTCCGCCCCATGGGACCTTATTTCTGAAAAATTATGTATTGAAGTCAATGGAGAGAGAAAGATTACAAAAGATTACAAATCAATATATGATTGGTTGATCAAACTGTCAGTCCAAACGTACGCTCTCATTCAGTGCAACGGCCAGGGCATTCTATCAAGGATGTAGAATACCTTGGTTGAAGGATATTCTACCCAGAGACCCAGAACAAGATCTGATTGGTTGCTTTCTTTTCTAACACAAAACCACTGAAATGCGTAGTGCATGGTCCGAGAAGGACAAACAAATCAACGTAACACTAATATTACAGATCAACAACACGGATATGATTCTCATTTATTCATTTTATATACATTTTATTTATATAATTAAATCGATTTTTTGTTTGTTTTATCTGAGTGTTCCAGGGTATTCTCTGAATACCTTGAAGGCCCTGACGGTTTGCCACTGATTCCGGGTGTTAAATCCTCCGTTATCCAATGGGAATGGACGCTCACATTGCGTTTAAATGCCGCCGACATGGACCGATGCGGTGCTTCCCTGAGCGTCAAATACCGCAGCTGATGGGAATACATTGCAATCAGTTGAAAGCTCTTTGCGTCCGTTCATGAAGCTGAAGGAGACTCGCACGTCACAACTGCACACCATAGAACCCTGACCAAGTGTCGCTCCTGGACGTTCAGGGACTGAGACTGTGTTGGTTTGGCGTAGCTTTGGTCAGTGAGATATCTATTGCACTGTGTGGGAGGCTGTAAATCCTTTTCACCTTGTATTGTAATTTGTTCCCAACACAGAGTGATAATCCACAGCCTCCTTACTGGCCTCACAAAAATTGTGGAGGACAAAGCAGGAGTAAATGACATGGGGCAGGTCATCCAAGTTGATGTCCATACTAGGCCTTCTAAGTGCAGCAAATCTGGCATTGAGGCGACCAAAAGCACACTCAATTACCATACGTGCCCTACACAAAGATAGCCCAAAGTACTGTTCCTGAACTGTGGCGCCACCGGTTGCATATTCCTTCATCAGGTACGGCAGCAGCAGGTAGGCAGGGTCACCAAGAAGATCAATTGGGATGGCCTCCTCGTCGTCCACAATCTGTTTTTTCCGAGCAGGGATCTTGCCAGTCTTTAAGTACATGTTTAGCTTTGAATTAGCAAAGACTAGGGATGCTCCGATCGATCGATATTCACTCTCCGCCGATCGATCGATGCTCTCTATTAAGGCAGATCGTGAGAGACGATCACATGACGTAAAATACATGACATTTTTCTCTGTGTGCGGCAAAACAAGCTCGCCAAAATGGCTTCACCGGTCTGGCAGTATTTTAAGGTGTCCGAAAATGACAATAAAATAGCGGTATGCAACGTGTGTGAAGCTGCGACGGACCGGTGAGCGGAGCAAAACACACACTAAGAGTTAGACCTAACATACTTAGCTATTTTATCTACCTCTGGAACAAGCTAAACTAGACGATATGAGACGATACTGACAGGCTGTCAGGAGAGAGAGAGAGAGGAAAAGAGAGAGGCTCCCGCTCATTTCTCCCGTGTTATTATCCAAAGTTAATGTAAACTTGAATAATGTACTTCATTTGAATGTAATAATTATGTTGGTTGTTGTTTGTGGAAGCGCCAGTGAATGAGCCCCATTAACTGAGCCCCATTAACTGAGCTTTAAACATCACTTTAAATGGAAGATCCCCATAGCGCCCACCCACTCGATCGGATCGGCGCTCGGTATCGGCCGATACTGATTCCGGGGATCAGCCCCAAAATTGGCGATCGCAGCATCCCTAGCAAAGACCCATGCCCCATGCACACTCCCAGGCCACTTTACCACGACATCCATGAATCTGTACTTGTAATCACAGACGGCCTGTACATTAAGGGAATATTTGCCTTTCCTGTTGATGTAGTCCATGGAGTTGGTAGATGGCTGCTTGATTTCGATGTGGGTTCCGTCGACTGCTCCTAAACATTGTGGCATGCGATGCGCACGATCGAAGCCCTCAACCAGATCCGCGCTCTCGGGCTCAGTAAAAGGCAGCTTGATGTATTTTGGACCAACTGCTGGTTCTGCCTGGTGTTACCCAAAACCTTCTCCTGGTTGCCCTTCTGGTTATTCTCCACGGTGGATTTAGCAACATGTAGTTCATGTAGTTCTCCATGTCCGAAGGTTGCTGATGGTTGTGGTAGAGGAGCTATAGAATTTGCATTAAAATCTGTATCATGGGCAGTGGCTCCGATACCGTGGCTCCGTTTCGGCTTCGTGTGGACGAACCATCTATACGATAAAGAACTTTAGCGGATACAACTAAAATCGTCTCTGTGTGGACGGGGCCTTAGTGTCAACATTTCTAAACATAATTAACCCATAAACTATATTGAATACATTTACATATTCACTGTGGCATCATTGGTTAGTTGACAATTTTTTTGAAGCCATGAGTTTGTAATTTTGGATGGTGTCGTTTTGTTTTGGTTTTCACAAGCAGGGACACAAGAGGGGGAAACTTTATACAACATCTTTTTGGGGGACATAACGTCACAATAACCTTTCATGAATTGCAAACACACTTTGAAAGGTTACATTTCAAGACGAAAAAACACGGACAACAACTGTTCGCATGGTCATATGCTGTTTTATCGTCTACTTTTACACTTCTGGTAATAAACATCAAGCTGTATTGAAGAAAAGAAGAGAAACTATGGAACTCGCAACTAAACCATGAACTCATTAGAAAAAAGGTTAACTGACTTAAGTTATTCTATGGAACTGGGGATGGCTGCATGGTGAACTGTCAATCTAAAGTATTCCCTGCTTTAACTGTAAATCTACACCATATCGAACATGTATTGAAGAAGACTTGAAACTCATTTGGTTACATTTTATTTACGTGTTAAACCAGGTAAAAAGTAGGTCAATTTCCTCAGACTTCTATATAATTGGACTATTTGTGCAACCAGAGGATTTGCCCCCTGCTGGGTACTAGTGAGAATTAAAGTTTGAAGCACTTTTTCATTGACTTGCTATATTTCAATGTGTTGTTATATCTCCTTACATAACCCCAGATAATGATACATCTGCAATAATGTAATATTGACCGATGCACTGTATGGCCCTGGATAAATAATCGATCATGCTCTACACCAGGGGTGTCCAAACTACGATCTGGGGGCCAAATGCGGCCCGCGGATCATTTTGAATCGGCCCTCAGCAAATCAAAAAAGTATAATGACTTAAAGGTGGGGTACATTTTGGAGAAACCCGGAAGAAATCTGCTACTTCCTCACAGAGCCCCTCCTCCAACACACACGAACGCGCACATGACCAATGAGGGCACGAGATAAGTTTGTGCACAGATGGAAGGCTGACAGGCAGGTAGGCCATCCAGTTACTTTAGCCGAGCCGGCTCAGATGATTGGTCGTGCTTTTTACAGCGCCACGGCTTCCACTGATGAAATGTTTTGAATGGATTTTTTGTCAAAGAGTTAAGATATTCATTGCTATCAGGATGTTAAGAGCATTCCATGGAATATAACAAAAAGTGTATCTCGAGCCGGTTTCTCAAACTTACCTACCCCACCTTGAAGTATAATAAACTTCTGCTTGTCTTATAGTGTACTTCTTAAATATAGATGTTCAAATATTACAATATTACACAGTATTCATGTGTTAAGAAGCTCAATTTTCAAATAAATGCAGTACATTAAAGTTGAAAACATGTTCTGACAAATCTAAATTGATTTCAATAACAAATGTACATAACAACCTTGAACTAGACCCTTAATATTTCCTCTTATTATAATCAATCTGAAGCTTCTGTTTTAAGGAATGAGCTGCTAACAAAATAAATGAAACCCTATGGAGAGCTGTGATGTAGGCAATTCTTTACTTACATTTAATCAAGAATAATTGACCTACATTGGATTGATTTTTCCAACTTATAACTGAACTGAAGAGGCAGTATATCTCTATGTGGCCCAGTCCTTCATATATTTTTCTGTATGTGGCCCTCTGTGTAAAAAGTTTGGACGTCCCTGCTCCACACAGTAGGAATGAATCAATAATGTGTAAATTAACACCAACAAAAGAAATAAAACAGACATGTATCAGGAATAAAAAAATCTTGTATTTTTTAATTGACAGGGAAACATCCTTCAGGACAACGGTTGGTCATCACACAATAATCAGCAACGATACAATGCAGAGTCCGACTGTGTGTCGAGCCTTTAAAACTCCTCCCCTGTCCCCTCCCTTCTAATGGAGGGCTTATTATTGCAGACACTCTCCTCTGACAGATAAAACACACCTCCTCCCCTCCTTGTAAGGCTTGGGGGGGTTTGGGGGTGTCTGGGGGCAATCACTTAAGGGTTGTAAAAATAAAGAAAGAAAAACACAAGGCTTCTGATTCGTCAAAGTCAAGTTCTGTCAGTTTGAACTTTTTGGGAGCCGGAGCAGCTCAGTGTCACCCAGAGAACACGAGTCATCTGTATCCTTATCTCAGGGCGGAGGCTACCCCTACATCAAATATATATATATATATATATATGTATATATATATCAGTTAATTAGCTTCACCATCACTAGAGTTCTAGCATTTAGAGTATCAGGAGAAAACAGTGAAAAAAGGTTCACCTCAACATTAAATAACGTCGGTTCTGAACAAAAATAGAACCAGCTATGTTTCCATGTCTCTCTAAAAAACTGTATAAAGACAAGCTCTGTCCTCATACAGCAAATAACCACCTATTGCATTGGACAATAAAGAATAGGGTCATTTAATCAGCCCAGTGCAATTAGGTAGTCAATCTACAAATGGAAACATCTGAAAATGCAAATATCAAAATCTCTAAAACATCCAGATGATTCTTTCCCAAAAGATTTTTTTTTTCGTAAATCAGAACATGCAATAGTCAAAACTGTTTCCTCAAAAACAGGATTTAAATACTGAGATCCAAAGATCTGTAAGAACAATTATGCAGTCACTCTACCAAACTGTGTCGATTAATATGGCGATACGCTGTAGATCGGGGTGGTCTGCACTAAGTTAAATAAGAGTGGGACAGAAAGAGGCCGTCTTCAGACTACTTAAAACATCTCATTGCTGACAATCTGTCCAGGAAGAGGACACAAAACAGGACAAAGCGGTTGCACAGTAACAGTGTGATCGACCACATACATTTTCAAACCAGGGGACGACCAACTGTGCCATGTACAGGAGGGAGGACAACATCTCAGAACTGGAAGAATAGCGCTATCAAAAGATTAACAAGCTGCGTTCACAAGCAGCAACCTTTTTTTATAACTGTGATTTTATTGTCCAAGAGCTTTTCATTCTGTGTTTGCGAGAAACCAAACTTTATCGAACTTTGAAATGATGACAACAAAGCACCACGCTGTAGTACACACAGGTCAAGATGTGTCGTAAGCTGAAGCTAACATAAACAAGTTTCTTCTTTTTTCTTTTACATGCGTACTGCTTGGGAGATTTAAAGGTGATGCGGATGTTGAAGGAGAAGCATAATCTGATCTAATGTTTATAAGGGATTTTTTCTACAGCCTTTTAATGCTATTTTCAGCCAATTTGAATCGGACAAATCACCATAACAAGATCTGTCCTTTTATTTAACTGAATTCCCACAAAGATATATGACATGTCAATAAACTCAAAGGCTTAAATACGAGTTTGTACCAATATCAGTTGTTAATCTGCTAATCAATTAAACACAATTTGGTTGCCAATACATATACATGAATACAATGTAAGTATTTGAACAATGGGCCTGTGGTGATGACGGTGCAGCATCAAAGCACTTTGGTTTCCACTCAAATCACTGAGGAGTTGTGCATCTTACAAGCTGATCACAAATAAATAAAGACGCCACCCGGCCAGCTGCCTTTAAAAAGAGGAATCAGTAGTAAATGAGTAGTTTACAAGCATGCTTCTTTATGTACCTGTGCCTAACCAGACTGTGCACAAAATAGACTTAAATACATATTGTGCTGTGTCGTAATAAAGGTATGGCTCGGCAGGAAAACAATCACGCACTGGAAGGACGATGCTGTTCGTTCACACCATAGGGGATGCATGACATGTAGGTTGGTGTTGTCTTATTACGATCTAATGGGGGAAATAAAATTGAGGGGTGTAAATGAGAGTCCTCCCTTCTGTTTACAGTAACGCCAACATATGGTGGGCTGGAGCTTTTTTAAATAAATCTACAGTACCTAACACTGCTTACAGCCCCACCCAGGGGGCTAGTACCTACAGTAACACTACGGATATAAATACTCTCAATCATAGAAAAATGGGTTTATATTATATAGTAGTTCTACAGTATGTACTAACACGAGAGTGTGGTTGTTTTTTATGTTGTGGATGTCACTATATTCTCCACAAGTATATATTATTATTGCACTCTGGCTACACATATTTAATAAGTTAGTTTGGTTGTCTTTTGATGCACAGAAACACTAACTGGTGTATCCAGCATGAAAACAGCTGCAGAAGGGGGGGGGCTCAGAGACGACTTTCTAAGGATTCTAAAGTGGATAATACTGGATTTTGTTAGTGTTTTAAATGTTCCTTTAGGTAAGAAGTCAGTTGTATACTTTATCTGAACAAATAAATACACTGAAGTAAATCATTTAGTTTGTGTGTTGGATATAATGCTTTACTTCACTACAAGGGAAATACTTTTGAATAAGAGCCACATTTATATTTTGATGTGGCTAAGCTAGGTCTCAACACATGTACACAAAATGTCAAGGCTGAAAAACCTCTTTAAATGAATTTGGCTTGCATCACTGAGCCCGCCTCTTTAGGACTGTAATCTAGACATCAAATACACAGAAATCTGAGACACAGCTACAGAAACACATCCCTGTTCTCTTCTTTCTCTTTTTCAAAAATAGAAAAATAAAATCCCAATCCTCGACCTCCCGTTGAGAGGAGGGTTGATCTCCCTCGCTTCTCTCCGGATTTTGAAACGGAAAACATACATTCACAAGAGGACAACAGAGGAAAAAACAAGCAACTTGAAATTCAAATGTGTGTGCAAAAAACATTTTAGATCTCTATAAAAATATGTGCATATGGATAGAGCTATTTTTAATCTCACCAAATACAGTATTTTCCTTTATTTACACTGCACAGATACACAAATAAACATACACTACAGCTCTGCCCTGCTTCCCCTCTCTCTCGTTGCAGGCGTAAGAACAACATGGCCGACTTCCATGACAACAGATTTGACGATACTCGCACATAGGAAAACGCAGACACGCTCACACACACACACACACACACTTCTGCTCTGATCAATGTGATCGAGGAGCAGAGGAGGGGCAAGCAGAACTTCTGTAGAAAACCTGAAGTTGCATATCCCACAATTCCCCCCCCCAACGCTCGCATTTCACAAAACCACTTCCTGTGTAAGGTCAGAGGGTGTCAGCCAGACGCTGCTTCCTGATTGGCTCGCGTGGGTGGGGACAGTGTGTCAAAAAAAAACTTTGGCTACGGAGTTAGGTGGCTTTAGTCCTGGTGTGTTTTTAGTATTAGTCCCAAACACACCATGTACAGTGGGTCCTGTTAGACCGGTACAGCCGCCGAGGATCTGCTGTCCTTCAAGCTGCGTCCCGGAAAATAAATCCACCGTGTGTTATTCTAGGTCTGTACCAGCGTCTCTGGAAAGAATAAACCTTTTCTAGTTGTCGAAGCAAAACAAATAATCCATCTCCCTCTTCATTTCTCCCCAGCACCAATCTCTGCTGAGAGGACGCTCTACTCCGACTTCAGAGATTTAGGACCAAATAATTCCTGAAGGCAAAAGCCCAGACGTTCATTGGGCGGTCCTACGATTCTTTGCACTGAATCCCGCACCGCTCCCCAGTCTGTTGTCGAAGGGGGAGGAGCATGTGGCCGTGTCGGCGTCTGACAGGCCGGGAGACAGGCCGCTCATGTATCTGGACTGCGGTTGGTCGAAGGTGAACTGGGGGAGGGGGATGTAGTCCTGCCTCGCAGCGGGGGAGAGGGTCTGCGAGAAAGACATGGGGACGAGAGGTGCGTGCGGCTGGATGAAGATGTTGGGGCTGATGGGGATGTGTGAGGGCGTGGAGGCGTGAGACGGGGTGTAGGTGTGTGTGGGAGTGGACGCCCGGGACAGAGTCAGAGTGTGTGTTGGCGAGTGTGTTTGCAGCGGCACGTGGATGGGTGTGAGGGGGGTGTGCATCGGGTCGTACGAAGGCGTCCTGCGTCTCAACATCATGCTGCAGTCAGACAGTTTAGGGGGTGAGGCGATTTGGTGGTGTTCCCTCTCTGAAGGCGGGTGGATGGATATACAAGGGGGACTCATCTTCTTCTTCCTGTGGCCGCCCCCGACCGACTGCACCCTCACGGGGAACGCCGGACCGGACCGGGGGGTGAAGTCGCGGTCGTCCCCGGTGATGACGGCCTGCGGGAGGCAGACCTCAATGGAGTGGCGGCGGTGGTCGTCGGGGTAACCGGCCGACAAAGATGGCGGCTCGTCCGTGAAGCCGTGGTTGTCCGCGCTCGACCCCTTCCTGAAGTCCGTCAGCACCGCCCCGAGGAGGCTGAGCGCGCTCCTGGAGGAGGAGGGAGGCAGCTGGGGGGGCGGGGGGGGAGGAGGAGTCGATGTAAGGAGAGAGGGAGTGGCTGCGTCCCACCTTACCCCCCCCTCCCTCCTCCTCCCTCCACCTCTGGCGGGCGGAGCTGGTGATGTGACACACCTCCTCGTCCGCCGGGTCGCAGAGGGAGACGCCCGAGAGCTGCCGGGGTCTCCGCAGGCGGGGGGAGGGGGGCGGAGGGAGCAGGAGCGAGGGGGAAGACGGCGGAGGAGGGAGAGGGGAGGACAGGAGAGGGTGAAGGGGAGAGGGGGGAGGGAGGGGGACGGCTGAAGGGGAGCAAGGTGGAAGAGGTGAGGGAGAGGAGGGAGGAGGAGGAGGAGGCAGGGAGGACGGGTGAGAAGAGAGGGGAGGCAGGGGAGCAGGGTGGGGTCTCTCCTGTTGCTCATAACTCTGGCACTCCACAGAATCTACTTTCACTGCCACCTGAAACATGAACAAACAATCAATACATCTATATGAGCGGTTATATTGCAATATGTGTTTTTGGAAGTATGAAGGAGTCCGTCACCTGTCTGCGCAGGGCCCGTGGGGAGGGGCTGGGCGTGGGAGGGGCGATGCGGGGAAGGGGAAGGGTAAGGGTGGGAGGTGACCGAGGGTGAACGGGGGAGGCGTCCGGTACCTGCAGCAGAGCGCGACCCTCACACGGCTGGGAGTGGACCGACGTCACCGAGCCTGGAGGTGGACACGTAAAGATTTAAAATCACAGCCATGATATAAACACATGGACAGAATCACAATGCAAACACATGCATTGTTGCACATGCAAACACATTCGGACTGTTTCCTTTTACTTTGGGAGGATTTAAACGTATTTGAACTGGGCCAGGATTACAAAAACACTTAATTTTGATAGGCCTGTTGAGCAACAAGAAGGACAGGGACGTTTTTTGTTTTAGCTCATTAACAAATGCTTCAAATGTGCTGTGAAAATAAAGTGTTTTCTGAAAACAGATTATTAGCACATACAGTCGGTCATCAGTTCGTAGCAGAACTATAATTATTAGGGATAGTCACATTTCCTGGATAATATTCTGCATTAGATCCTGGTTACATCAACACCTCCTAGTGGCAGTATTAAGATCGTCATGCCATCCAATAACAGTTACTTACAAGTGTGCAAAAAGATCATGAATTTAATATATGACCAATGACTGCTATGAGATTGTGTAACCAGGATCTTAGGCATGTCTGCACACACAGGTCCAGTTCACCTGTGGGTTCAGATGGAATAACATTGCAGCAGAGTTAGATCTTACACAAGTTCATTTTCATTCTACTTTCAGGCCAAGCTGTGAAGCCACTTGATTATAAATCCAACACGTTTTAATCCGACAACAGACAAAGCACCACAGGCTTTTATTTCTTGGATTAGTTGTGTGGCTTTGCAGCTTGGCCATTAAGTAAACGGACATTCAGCAGCTGAGCAGATGAGCCTGTGTGAAAGTGGCACAGATTCACATTGAGTCAGCTCATCGGCTGCAGTCAGTACCTTGGGACAGAGTCTGTCCACAGCCTGGCCTCAACATGCCTTTAGATTCTGACTGCAGATAAAACAGCGCTCGTCAGTGCTTTGGGAAATGTTTTCATGTCTGTTTTGCCTTAATGACCCAAACAAGACCTACATATACATAGGATGATATAAGGTATATTTGTACCAGGTTTTATTTAATAGGGAGTTACAAATGTTGACTATTATTATTGATTATTAAATGTATGTCAATTATACAATGAATGATTGTAAAAGTATCTACGCTTTTACTAGGACACACTTTACAAGTAAATCATTCAAGTGTTTCAAGTTTAAAAAGTGTGTATCTTACAACAAAATAATAAACATTTTACTTTCCAATGCATCAAAGGTACTACTGTAGTAGAAGATGTATGTTTCAGAACCATTTAAAAATGTAAAATAAATATATATATTTCGACATTTGAGTGCAAATGGTTCTCAAATATATTGAAATGCTTGTAAATAGTAATTATCAAACTTATCTATGGCATTCCTAACTGTGCTTCGAATCCTTGAATATCATAGTTACCATCCTAATAAAGAGGAATCTTGGTCGGTGCCAACAGCTCTGGACCTTCAATCTGTGCACAATGATAAGGGTCCGGTAACAAAAGCTGTCACTCTATATTATTTGTATTCAGTAGTGTCATAAAATGCTCCAAAAAGTAGGATTGTGGCCTCAAATGCGATGAAAACCCCATGTTCACTGTTCTAACCATCATTTGTCTCACATATAGTTAGATATAAGAACTTCTTAAACTTCACTCCTTCAGTAAAAGGACTCTTAAACCATGGCATTGGTCCGATGAGACTGTATTGATTCGTTAGTGAGTTTCAATTTCAGTGTCAGGCCTCTGACCTCACATTAGATTATAACACTATTTTACAAAACATACATTTTACATATGTACAAAAAAAGAACAAAAAGAGATTACCACATTATACAGCACATCTACAGTATTTGTACAGCATGTGTATATTCTTACAAATAACATAATTGTACGCATTGTGCGAGAAGCTGGTTAAGTGTACTGAGCACGACCTGTGTCTATTAGAGCAATAAACCAGGCTAGAACAAAGAGAAGATAGAAAATGGTCTTATATTTAAAAGAAATACATTCTTATTAGATAGTTTACCTGAATGCTGGGGCTGGGGGCGGAGCTCTATCTCCTCCAGAGGGAAGGGGGCGCTGGCGGGCCGCACGGGTCTGAACATGTAGCTGTCGTTAGGCAGAGAGTGCATCCTGGATACAGACATCTTCCTTGACGACAGCAGGTCCGGGTCGATGTACTGCACCTCCTCCTCTTCCTCCTGCGGGGGGAGACAGAGACCACTGAGTCCAGCACTGACTGTCTCTGTGCAGGAAACTGACTATTGCAGCATTTACAATGGATGCAGTAAATAAGAGGAGCATTCAGAAACACCTGCAGCCTATGATCATGTCTTCCCCTGCACCCCTAAATAATACACACTCAGTTTCAGGGTTAGTCTAGGCTGTGGTGGAACGTCACTTCATTTGCTATTGTACTTACTGGCAGTAGGTATTTGTGCTTTATCTGAGTGTTTTAAGTAATGCCACTTCAGTCAAAGAAAGAAGGTACATTTTATTTGACCATTTATTTAATATCTAAAATAACGACTTTCTTAGAAATTAATGATTTTTCCAAAAAGATCAGTTAAAACAAAAATACTGTTTTTAGAGTTTATAAATATGAGGTTTTGTTATAAATTATAATAGCCAATAGTTTATGCAATGACAGTTTTTTAAGAGATTGATAGAACATTTAAAAAAAGATGTAAGTATTTATTTTACTGATATTGAACAATTGATTTTTTATGATATTTTCTTTCATTCATTTGAGATGTCTCTGCATTGGGTAATCTGATCTAAGTACAATTTCCAGATTATACAATTTACTTAAGTATCATTTCCAAATGCAGGACTTTAACTTGTTGAGTATTTTTGCAGTGATATTAGCACAGTGTGATATTGGTGCTTTTACTAAACTAAAGGGCAAGGCAAGTTTATTTATATAGCACCTTTCAACACGAGGCTATTCAAAGTGCTTTACAAAAAATGAAAGACATTAAGAAAATGGCATTTAAAATCAGTCATTAAAAAGAAAAGCTAATAAAAGAAACATTAAAAGAAAAAATACATGGATAAAAGTTATAGTGCAGTGTAGGAATACTTCTACCCCCACTGAGTGTACGTCTCCCTACCTCTCCAGGTGAATTTGGACACGGCCCAACGTAGGTTCCTGCCGCTGAGCTGTTGTGGGAAGTTGTGCTTAATTTGCGTTGCCTCTCCATGGCCATCTCCAAGGCGATCTCTGCATCCATCTCTGCGTCCTCTTTAGCTTCCTGCAAAAGTAGAAGTTGTTTCCCTTGATTACTACATTGCGTTCCATCCGATTTTTTTCAGTATGCGATGACAAATGTACGAATATATATACATATGTTTTGCATTTGGCACACTCTCTTGGTGTAAGCCTCTGTATTTACTGTACCTTGTTGCTTTCCTCCAGATGTTTCATCAGAACAGCCACCACCACATTGACCAGCACAAACTGCGCCATCAGCACAAATGTGACAAAGTAGATCGGAGAGATCAAAGGCAGGTAGGTAAGGCAGTTTAGTTCCTCTGGATGACATTCCCTCAACGTGTCCTTAAAAGACAAGGAAGAAGGTTAGAAGGAAAGGGGGAGAACAAGTGAAACACACATTATGTGGATATACACTGTTCAATAAACCTGAGGCTATTTGACAAAGCTCTGAAATATTAAAGATCCCTTATCATGATGTTTTTCATCAATATATTACAGGTCTCAGTTATATACAAAACATGTCTCTGAAGTGTTTGGCTCCAAACACCAAACAGATCATTGCAGCATTACCCATAATCCCCTCTGTTTCAGCCCTGTTTCCAAAGAGCTGATTCTCTGTCTGTTACTTTAGATGAAAATAAGGAGCCCCTCCCCACGCCCCTCTGAGAGAGATTTGGTTACAAAGAACTCAATGGTGCTCTAGAGGAGATTCAGGTGATAAGGGGAGGGGGGGGGGGGGGTTACATTGGATGGTGATTGGCTAATGGCTACACAAGACAAAACATCGTTATGACATCATAAAGTGGCCAAAATCTGATCAGCTCATTTTCAGACAGGTTTTTATAGAAATGGATCAAAAAGAGAGAGAATCTTTTTTCCTGAAACTTTCAGAGTCTCTTTCCACAGAGGGGACACATGTTGATGTAGAAGAGACATGAAGAAGAGGGGACACATGTTGATGTAGAAGAGACATGAAGAAGAGGGGACACATGTTGATGTAGAAGAGACATGAAGAAGAGGGGACACATGTTGATGTAGAAGAGACATGAAGAAGAGGGGACACATGTTGATGTAGAAGAGACATGAAGAAGAGGGGACACATGTTGGATGTAGAAGAGACATGAGAAGAAGAGGGGGACACATGTTGATGTAGAAGAGACACTGAAGAAGAGGGGACACATGTTGATGTAGAAGAGACATGAAGAAGAGGGGACACATGTTGATGTAGAAGGGACATGAAGAAGAGGGAGACACATGTTGATGTAGAAGAGACATGAAGAAGAGGGGACACATGTTGATGTAGAAGAGACATGAAGAAGAGGGGACACATGTTGATGTAGAAGAGACATGAGAGAAGAGGAGACACATGTTGATGTAGAAGAGACATGAAGAAGAAGAGGAGACACATGTTGATGTAGAAGGAGATGGAAGAAGAGGGACACATGTTGATGTAGAAGAGACATGAAGAAGAGGGGACACATGTTGATGTAGAAGAGACATGAAGAAGAGGAGACACATGTTGATGTAGAAGAGACATGAAGAAGAGGGGACACATGTTGATGTAGAAGAGACATGAAGAAGAGGAGACACATGTTGATGTAGAATGGAAGAGACATGAAGAAGAGGAGACAATGTTTGATGTAGAAGAGACATGAAGAAGAGGGGACACATGTTGATGTAGAAGAGACATGAAGAAAGAGGGGACACATGTTGATGTAGAAGAGACATTGAAGAAGAGGGAGACACATGTTGATGTAGAAGAGACAGGAAGAAGAGGAGACACATGTTGATGTAGAAGAGACATGAAGAAGAGGAGGAGACACATGTTGATTGTAGAAGAGACATGAAGAGAGAGGGGACACATGTTGATGTAGAAGAGAGACATAAGAAGAGGGGGACACATGTTGATGTAGAAGAGACATGGAAGAAGAGGGACACATGTTGATGTAGAAGAGGACATGAAGAAGGAGACACATGATAGAGAGAAGAAGAGGAGACACATGTTGATGTAGAAGAGACATGAAGAAGAGGGGACAGCATGTTGATGTAGAAGAGACATGGAGAAGAGGGGACGCATGTTGATGTAAGAAGAGACATGGAGAAGAGGGGACACATGTTGATGTAGAAGAGACATGAAGAAGAGGGGACACATGTTGATGTAGAAGAGACATGAAGAAGAGGAGACACATGTTGATGTAGAAGAGACATGAAGAAGAGGGGACACATGTTGATTGTAGAAGAGACATGAAGAAGAGGAGGGGACACATGTTGATGTAGAAGAGACATGGAGAAGAAGGGGACACATGGTTGATGTAGAAGAGACATGAAGAAGAGGGAGACACATGTTGATGTAGAAGAGACATGAAGAAGAGGGGACACATGTTGATGTAGAAGAGACATGAAGAAGAGGAGACACATGTTGATGTAGAAGAGACATGAAGAAGAGGAGACACATGTTGATGTAGAAGAGACATGAAGAAGAGGGGACACATGTTGATGTAGAAGAGACATGAAGAAGAGGGGACACATGTTGATGTAGAAGAGACATGGAGAAGAGGGGACGCATGTTGATGTAGAAGAGACATGGAGAAGAGGGGACACATGTTGATGTAGAAGAGACATGAAGAAGAGGGGACACATGTTGATGTAGAAGAGACATGAAGAAGAGGAGACACATGTTGATGTAGAAGAGACGTGAAGAAGAGGGGACACATGTTGATGTAGAAGAGACATGAAGAAGAGGGGACACATGTTGATGTAGAAGAGACATGAAGAAGAGGGGACACATGTTGATGTAGAAGAGACATGAAGAAGAGGGGACACATGTTGATGTAGAAGAGACATGAAGAAGAGGGGACACATGTTGATGTAGAAGAGACTGGAGAAGAGGGGACACATGTTGATGTAGAAGAGACATGAAGAAAGAGGGGACACATGTTGATGTAGAAGAGACATGAAGAAGAGGGGACACATGTTGATGTAGAAGAGACATGAAGAAGAGGGGACACATGTTGATGTAGAAGAGACATGAAGAAGAGGGGACACATGTTGATGTAGAAGAGACATGAGAGACATGAAGAAGAGGGGATACATGTTGATGTAGAAGAGACATGAAGAAGAGGGGACACATGTTGATGTAGAAGAGACGTGATGAAGACGAGGAGGGACACATGTTGATGTAGAAGAGACATGAAGAAGAGGGGACACATGTTGATGTAGAAGAGACATGAAGAAGAGGGGACACATGTTGATGTAGAAGAGACGTGAAGAAGAGGGGACACATGTTGATGTAGAAGAGACATGAAGAAGAGGGGACACATGTTGATGTAGAAGAGACGTGAAGAAGAGGGGACACATGTTGATGTAGAAGAGACGTGAAGAAGAGGGGACACATGTTGATGTGGAAGAGACATGAAGAAGAGGGGACACATGTTGATGTAGAAGACACATGAAGAAGAGGGGACACATGTTGATGTAGAAGAGACATGAAGAAGAGGGGACACATGTTAATGTAGAAGAGACATGAAGAAGAGGGGACACATGTTGATGTAGAGAAGAGACGTGAAGAAGAGGGGACACATGTTGATGTAGAAGAGACATGAAGAAGAGGGGACACATGTTGATGTGGAAGAAGACATGAAGAAGAGGGGACACATGTTGATGTAGAAGACACATGAAGAAGAGGGGACACATGTTGATGTAGAAGAGACATGAAGAAGAGGGGACACATGTTAATGTAGAAGAGACATGAAGAAGAGGGGACACATGTTTGATGTAGAAGAGACGTGAAGAAGAGGGGACACATGTTGATGTAGAAGAGACGTGAAGAAGAGGGGACACATGTTGATGTAGAAGAGACGTGAAGAAGAGGGGACACATGTTGATGTAGAAGAGACATGAAGAAGAGGGGACACATGTTGATGTAGAAGAGACATGAAGAAGAGGGGACACATGTTGATGTAGAAGAGACATGAAGAAGAGGGACACATGTTGATGTAGAAGAGACATGGAGAAGAGGGGACACATGTTGATGTAGAAGAGACATGAAGAAGAGGGGACACATGTTGATGTAGAAGAGACATGAAGAAGAGGGGACACATGTTGATGTAGAAGAGACATGGAGAAGAGGGGACACATGTTGATGTAGAAGAGACATGAAGAAGAGGGGACACATGTTGATGTAGAAGAGACATGAAGAAGAGGGGACACATGTTGATGTAGAAGAGACATGAACAAGTGAACCTTCAACTTTTGGTTATTTAATATGGATGCTCATTGACAGCATTGGATGATTTGAAATCTGGATGAGTTGAAGGAGAAACAGGGACAGTTTGTACAGTGATTGTAGGGTGTTAAAACGGCAGCTGCTCTGGTTCCTTCCTTACCCACACATCCACATCTGCTGCTGGGACACTTGAGTTTATGCAGTGCAAGTGTGCATGTGTGGTGGCAAAAACTGAACAGCTCTCCCCTGTTTGGTTACATAATCTGCAGATTGTTAAATCAAGTGATGACAAACCAGTTCCAGGAGGTGCTTGATTAAAAGAAATGGGGCCTCCCTGTGTATGTATAAGTATGTATAAATGTTGCCTAAAAATTAGAAAAATAAAAAAAACGAGGTTAAATAAGGAAAGGCTGTGACTGGACAGTTTTGCCTGCTATCTACTGAACATTTAAAAAAGGAAATGATTGAATTGAATACACTAATATACACTTCAAATGATAATTTAGCCCACTGGATACTGTATATCACATCCCCAAAAGTAAATAATCCACGGAAAATACACATAAGGTCCAATCCACAAAAGTATCCTTATGATTCAAATGGTTATTAACATTATTAGCCAGACAGAAAAAAAAAGAAATGCTCAAAGCTGTTCTCATTCGTTACCGTATTTAAATATATATTTTCGAGTCAATTAACGATTACATAACATTTCTTAATTAAGTAAAACTGGAGATGATAAAGTGTTGACATTGCTCGGCTCTAAGCCACTTTATTATGTCATAATTGGTTTGGGAGGTCATTGCTCTGTCTGTGGTTATGAGATAAGTAAGTCCTCATGTATTTGTGTGTGTGTGTGTGTGTTCATACTTTCATAATCCCATTCCAGTTGTCTCCTGTGGAAACTCGAAACAGAGTGAGGAAGGCCATCCCAAAGTTCGCAAAGGTGGCGTGTCGACTCAGACCCTCACATGGGTTGTCCTCAGTGCACTCTAATCAACACACAAACATAACAAAAGACATCAGTTACACCACTAAATAGTGCGTTGCAGGAATGAGTCCAAAACCTGGGAGTTCATTAGCATTTTGGGTCTTCCTGGTTCCCAAGTATTAAAGTCAATGGTTTTTTTAAATCAGATTTTGTTTAGATGCCTGATAACATCTGCGGTTAAAACGAAAACTTACGAGATTTTCACGTTTTGTTCATGTATGCATGACGTCAGTAATTGTTGAATACAATCCAAAACAAACAGTTTTTTCCCAAGAGCCATCATTGCTCTTAACACCTGAAATCATACCTCTTAATCATCGTAAATGTGACTCTGTACATATATCATTATTATAAATACATACTATTATTATTATTATCTATTACATTACAGATTTTATTTTTATACTCCTGGAAATAACTACTGCACTTTATTCCTTATTCCTAAGTATGTATGCCGCATGTATTTGTTGTGATGTTTTTTTGTTTTGATGGCACCCTTGAAAGGGAGAAGCATTTATGATCTCATTGTACGATGACATTAAACGATTCTATTCTAAACATTCGTGAATGGCTGAAGCTTTTAAGGGTCTTTAAAAAGGCGGTTGCAAACAAGTGACTAAATAAGACTACTAACGTCATCTTGCTGAACATTAGCCGCATTTAGCTTAGCGTTGTTGAAGTAAAGTCATGTGACCGTGACTGTTAGTTTATAACGTTAGATATTTCCCTTAAGCCATTGCATTAGCACTTAAACTATTGTAAAATTAGTGTAAATATGTTTGCTATAAATGGTGTGTTTGCCGAGGAGCTTACTTTATTCAATATTTAAAAAGCCAATTGAAAACTCCCTTGCTTTTTGTCAAGGGAGCTCTTGCGATGTTAACTTCTGGGTTGGCCTTCAAAGATACATCATTGCTGCACCACTTTATAGACATGGTCGTTACAAAACAGCATACGGAGATAAAAGTGAGTATAAATGATGGTATACTTATCAGTACCCCGTTTAGAAAGTCCTAATGCTTTAGTCGTATGAAAGCAGCGATGACTGAACACACAAACAGCTGCTTAGCAGTGTGTCCCTGTGGACGTGGCAGAGGAGAGGAGAACAATGTCTCCGTCAGTCTCAAGGTCAATTTGACAGAAAGCCCTCGAGAGCCTCTTTACAGAATCAAAACAGTCTGAAAGACATCCTTCTTTGTTTCCAGCCCTAGGTCACATCAGCAGGAAGCTGGAGAACCATGAGAGAGTCCTCAGAGACTTGAATACCTTGTGTCTTATTCTAAGGATCAACCATCAGGAGGAAAGTGAGAGGTGTGTAGCTCAGAGGAACTGAATACGGCAACAATAACAGGCATTAAAGTAACTCTTGAAGCTTTATTCATGCGTACTAAACAGTGCCCTTTGAAGAGGCACAACGATTCATTTATAAAACCATAGAGCTTCTATCAAATAAACTAGAAGACACAAAACCAGAAGAGTTTTATTTTGCCAGCTACATTTTTGCTAACTTTGCCATGTTGGTTTTCAAAAGACTTTCCAGTCATCTGTTATTCTAGTGGGGTACAAATAACTTATTCCCCTCGAGTCTGAGTCATGGCCCAGTGGCCTGAGGGCGTGGCGGGAAATGGAGATTCATCCGGCCATTAAGTCTAAGAGATCAGTAATTTAATTTAGATTCAAATTGAAATGTAGAAACTAATAGAAACTTTCTGCACTAAAGTTTGAATCCGAATCTGTGAGCATTAACATTCAAACCCTCATTCCATCCACTCTCCTATGTCCCTTTCCTGTGACCTTCCCTTATCTGTTCAGCCTTCTGCGACACCACCGTCACAGAGTGGAAACTCAAGAGAACCAACAGTAACACATGTCTTAAGTCTCCCTTGCGGCTTTCACACCAGCGCTTTTCCCTTTCTAGCTCCGAGCTAGAGCTTTTCTGGTTCAGCTCCGGTTTCCCTTTTCTGCTCCCGCTCTGTTCACACCGCCCAGAGCCCGACTGGTGCTGCCGCTGCTGCGTCATGACGTCACCGTTTACATCGCTGATTTGCTCCCCAACGGCATTACGGCGCTCACAACAACAACAACGGGGAACTGCGTCGGGTCGATGATCGTGTTGCTTTTAATCACACGAAGCCAGATTAAATTGAATAACGACTTCTCCAAGCTTATGCTTTGCTCCAGAGTGCCGTGGTTCATTGTTTATTAATGTTTTTCTGCGGCATTTACCGACCACTGCAGTGTTGGCTGCTCTTCCACGGGAGTTTATTCTCCTCCGTTAGCTCCCGGTTAGCTCACACTGCTGCGGCCGCTCTAAAGTATTCACTGTCCAACTCACACAAGCAGCTGATACATATCCCCAGTTCCCCTTAGCCTAAGTGAATGTGTGTCAGTCTGAATTGACGCTGTTTGGTATCACAACGCTGTTATGAAAGTGTCTGGTATAAAATGGGTGATGTTAGCATAGCAACCGAAGCTAAACGGACTACTTGCTATTGCTATCCTATTGTGGCATACACCGTTTTCTACAGGCACATTTTACCGGCGTATTTTTATTATGATTCTACTTGTGATAGTCGGACACCACAACCTGTGCAGCCCATGTATTGATTCCATCCGATAGCTGCTATAATACAAAACAAAACGTCTGCCTCTCTCCACAATGATCAATAACAATGAACGGATGGTCAAAGTAAGGTACAAATAAACAGAATCACACAAAGCCTGGTTAGTGTTGCCTGACTTTATAAAGTGTGTTTATAAGCACTACTGCTTGTAGGCAGGCATGACAGTCGACCCATGTTCAGGGGAGGAGGGTTTAGTTTCCTGCACGCCTCGACGTAAGAGAGACGTAAGCGACGCCACCTCTTAGCTCCGAAGCTCTTGCCTCTAGACCAGGGGTGCCCAACCAGTCGATCGCGATCGACCGGTCGATCGCGGGGAGATTCCCAGTCGATCGCGAGATGTGTCTAAAAATAGAACAACAATATTCTGTTTTATCGTTAATGTCCTATAACATAATCTTCCTGTGCCAGAATAATGCACTTGAACGCATCAAAGCTTTGTGATTGGCCGGCGTGACCCCATGTGTCGGGGCGTGGCTGGTCGGCAGTGGTGACTATTTCGCTGACGTTGTCCGTGTCAACCTGGTGTCAACAGGAGTGACAGTCCGCACACACACAAGACCGCAATTATGGCAGAAGCAAAAAAGCCCAAAATATATAATTTTCACCCCGAGTGGGAGGATGATTATTTTTGTATCTATTCCAATTCAAAGTCCATCTGTCTCATCTGCAATGCGAGCGTGGCTTTATCGAAGAAGGGTAATTTAGGAGCGGCATTTCAAAACAGTGCACAAACGCTACGAGACGGAATTCCCTCCTAATTCTGCCCTACGCTCCAAAAGGGGAGGGATTCATTATAATTATTGTACAAAATGGTATAACAATGCAAACTTAAATTGATTATAGTCTATCATCAATTCAGGTTAAGAAACTAGTGTTGCTTGCATTCTATTTTTAAAAGGCATTTATTTTTATACTCTACTAAAATACAACAAAAAAAGGGTTTGATTCTATTGATTTTGTCTTTTTTATTGCACTTTGGCAGCAGATTCCTGTGTAGCTTCAGATCTGAGTTGTCTTATTAGTAAGCCTAATTTATACTTTTGTAGCAACACTATTTTTATATAATGGCAAAGAAAGGGTTCAGAGTCTTTTCTTGTTTTCCTGTGTCATATGTGGCAGCACTGTTCAATGTTTCTTGAAAACATTACCCACTGTAATATGTGACGTGTGAATAAACTCCAACTCTGTATCAACAACACTGTTGTGTAACTTCAGTTAAATACTTGTATGTGTGTAGATTAGAAAGAGGTAAGATAAAGGATCTGCAGTAATTTATGAAGTATTCATCGTATAAAGGTCAGTTTTATACAAGTAGAAGTGTGTATTTACCTGGTATTAGGCTGGCTACGCCTCTCTATTTGGACTGGTAGATCTCGGCAGACTGGCAACTTTAAAAGTAGCTCTCGGTTCAAAAAAGGTTGGGCACCCCTGCTCTAGACCGACAATTTTTTGGAGCTGGAAGTGAACCGGATTCCGGAGCTAAGAGCCGGCGCCGCTGCGGTGTGAACAGGAAAAACCGGCGCTTTTCAGGCTCCAGCTCCGAGCCGGAGCTGAAAAAGCGCTGGTGTGAAAGGGGCTCCTGAGGATTTTCAGATGTTCACATGTCTGTCTTCCTGTCTGAGGGCTGAAAGGTTTCATGAGCCAATAGAGTGATTAAAGATTTATGAAGGTCAACGCGTAAGTTATAGCATCGCAAAATGTACCTCGACAAAAAGAAAATGGGATTTTTCCGTTGGATTTTGGAAGATTGCAGAAAATAAGATCTGTGGCAAACATGTGGATTATACATTTTGTTGAGCAGGATAATCTTCACATATTAACAGCACTTTTATAATGTTTTAAGCGTTAATGCAGTAACCAGATGTAAAAAGCTAAGGTTAGTCTGTAAACATACTTCATCACTGTCAACTGGCTGAGCGTCAACACCGCTAAGCTAAAGGTGGCTAGTGTTTTGGCGTGATGATGTGGGGGGGGGGGGGGGGGGGGGGGATCATTTGGCTCGGCTCTCTTAAAGCGCCGGCTGCGCCGGCTGTTTCGGCTCCCAAACGGCTCTTCATGTTACCACAGTTTACCACGGAGCCTCAGTATCGCCGCTGCGAGGCTCCGGCGCTCGCAGCTCATGCGCGTGCTCCACTAAAACCCCCCCGCTCATTGCTTCCAAATCGCGCACGTTCCGTGTTGTCCACCTTCGATGTCGGGGAAACGATCTTCAATACTCCGAAAAGAATCCCACCAGACTCCTTTGCCCCTCCAACAGAGGGATGTCCTTTTTCCTTTTCGTCATTTCAAGCGATAAAAACTCGATCTTCTCTGGAATTATTAATATTTTTGGACGCCCTCGGCTCGCGTTCAGGGCGTCCCGAGCTGAATAAGGGCATCAAATGACGGCAAGACGCCGTCGGAAACAAAAACATGTCTAAAAAAACGTTGACATCCAGACACGGTTACCGGAAGAGGTATACAAGGGCTGCAGTCGAATAGTCCATTTAGCTTAGGAACCTTCCTAACCGAGTGAAATTACCCGGAAGTCCCTCACTGGCAGCCATGATAAGTGCTGTTCGAATTCTCTAGAATGAAAGGAAAGGAGGTTTCAAACTTCCTTTATAACCTCCTTTAGCTTAGGAACCACTGGACCTCCCTAATCGAAAGGAGAGGAGAAAATGCTGCCCCACAATGCATTGCAGCCGCAGCATTTGCCGTCACTCAACGGTCGGCCGTTCACGGACACAATCGATTATGACGGAGAAATTATATCATGAAAGTTACGGTGCTTATTAAGCATTTTAAAACGTATGTGGTAAGTTGCCAAAGTGCTTTGTTTTGAACGTTCATCAGTATCATAATCAAAAAGAGAAATATGAACGTTAGTTTTTACTGAAATGATCAAATAAAGTCAACATCTCACAGTCTTTACTGAGCTGTGTGGGGTTTGTTCAACTTTTAAAAGATGTTTGAATGGTGATATACACAGTGACAGATGTTAAGGACTAACGTTTATAATAAATACATCTGTATTGATTTTAAGATATTTTCATAGTTCATCAATCATACGTATTGGGATCATTTGTATTAATGTGGACCGGAGGGAGAGGGTGACGAGCATAAGTTTCACTTTCCTTTTTATTTCAATTCCAACTTTGGTCATGAAGAATATGTTTCTCTGTTGTCCACGTTCATAAAGCATAAAGCAACAGCGTCAGAGCACGGTGCAGAGTCTCTAGATGAGTTTACAGTAGTCCCTCGTTCTTATTGAACATCCATGTTGTAGTCCGCTGTATAGAGAACTGTAGTTTCCATAGTTTCCCCACAGCAGCAGACGCACATTCAGGACGTCCGCTGGCGCATCATAAACACGTCGGATAGTGAAAGTGCAGTCGGATTCTCTAAAGTACTGCAGTCTCTTCTCCTAAGTCCTTTTGAATTCTCCTATCCACTATCCCTTAACCCCATGACGTTTCACTCAGAGGTCAAGGAATAGGAGATAGGGTTAGAACTTAGGAGCTGATTTTTAAACTATCCGAAAGCAACCAAGGTCTCTACTGTTAGCCTACACAAAATGACAGCCCTATGATGGAAACAGTGAATCAAATAAAAATGTTTCAGTGGAAATATGAAAGCAAAAGGTGTTTTCAATGTTGTGTTCATTTCAACAGGTTGATAGTGTGAAATCATGAAGTGTAGAAATGAGGTAACGAAGCAGAGAAGCAAGGCCCAACCAACTGTAACCTCTAGTGATGACTAGGCTCATTTTGTTTCAATAAATGATGACACGTCCAATGTAAAGTACTTTTCCAGAATCTGACCAGGCTATAATGAAATCATCCAACACACTTCTCTGAAAGCCTTTTACGAAAATATAATTCCCTACTTTAGCTTTGTAAGCCCTCAAGATGGATTTAAAGTGAGACACAGAGCTTGGTCACAGCAAAAAAGTTATTACTTTGGAAAACTCAAAAACAGACATTATTTCGTTCTTCAGCTTCAAATAGAAGCAAAACAACATTTCTCAGAGAGCAACCTCTTCATCACCAGGATGTTCCTTTTGTCCTCCAATATGCCTTTTCACTAATCCTCCTCTCTCACACAATGTTGCGCTCTCAGGGAAAATGAGTTAGCCTATTGAGAAAGCAATATGTGAATACATGTGATCATGCCAATGTGATATTTTCTGGTTCGAAACAGGTCTCTGATGTGAGAGAAAAATAGAAAGTGGGAGACAGATGGGGGGTCGAGATCCAACAGAGACGGTTCAGGCGGGGCAATGTGCGCTTAGTCGTGACTGTGGTAGTAATGACTAGATTCTGCGCTGAAGCTCGAGGACCATGGTGTATGTGTGTTTTTTTGTCAGTAGTGTGACTGACCCAGTCTGCCAAAGAGCTCCACTCCCAGCGCAGCGTAGATGAAGAACAGCAGCATGAAGAGGAGACCGAGATTTCCCACCTGGAGGCAAAACGCATGTTAGATCCAGCTCCGCACACCAAACCGGAGTTTAAATGCTGCTTGTTAAAAACTGCAGGGAATAAAGCACATTTATTTCATTGTATTTACTACATAGCCATCCATTATGAATGGTAAACACATTCTTACAAATATGTCTTCTTAGGGAACCATAATTGGCATCCTATTCCAACCCCCATGTCAATTCAATTAAGAGCAATATATTTGATCATTTTTTGATTGGTTCAGTTTTTGAGACTTATTATTATTTGAACTTTTTATATGCATTTGTAAAAAAAAGAAGATATTTCAGTGAAAAATACACAAATGTGGTAAATATAAATATAATGTTGAAAGCGCAAAAAAAATATATATAAAAAGTAACTTAAAGATATCACACTGCCTTGCTCTCACTGGGTTGTGCGGCAATTATCATATTACAAAAATAAGAAGAAGAATTTTATTTTAATAGCACCTTCTAAAACAGATGTACAAAGTGCTTTCACATAAAACATAAAAAGGTTAAAAAATATAAAATATAAATCAAAAAGTAAGGTGGCAAATACAGGCAAAATTGTACTGAACGAGTGTACATGCTACCTGAATTGTGATGACTGTTGCCTTTAAGTTATTAAGAGCACTTTCCAAAAGGGACTAGCGTGGCTTTTTGGTTGAGATAGCACAGTTTGTGTTGGTGTTACCTTAACCCAGGGGTGTCAAACTCAAGGCCCGGGGGCCAAATCCGGCCCGCGACTTCATGTTATGTGGCCCCGCAAGAGCTTCCAAGGAATATAATACGTTTATTATACGGTTACATGCCGATTTACAGAAGCACGTTGCCCATAAACTACATGTCCCACAATGCATCTAGTTTTGTGACATGCGCACTGAAGAGACTTGCAATTATTTGCCCTAGACTTCTGCTTTCAGATGTAGTTAATTATGAAGTTATTACCCTATCCCATAATAATCCAATTCAGAGGCAATAACGTCATATAATACATTATTTTATATATATTATATATTTATATATTTATATATTTATATAGTCTTAAAAGTTGCAACCGGCCCTTTGAGTGCAACCATAATGTGGCCCGCGATGAAATTGAGTTCGACACCCTGCCTTAACCCTAACCCCTATGACTACATAAACCGCCTTTATGATCATTAGAAACAACACTAAGAAAATATTACAATTCTTAAAACGAACATGAAGACGTGTGCTGTGAAAGAAATCAGAGAAAGCTTTGACATCTGCTATCAAAGCAGAGCTAGAATATCGACAGTGGCTTTCCCCTAGTACTTTTGGGCAAACCCTGGAACTGTAAGCACTTCCTGTCCCTGCACCATACCTTGCCAGCATGTTGTCTCTTATACCCTCCCCCAATAAACCCTGTGCCCCGATGTTTAAATCTGTGCTCACGACATTTGGAAAGAAACGGAACAATGTGTGAGAATCATTATTTCGGTGCAGCTGCTCTCTGCCTGTAGCAAGTGTGTCAGACAGCAGGAGGGAGAGACCTGAGATACTCCCACCACATCCGCTGACATCCTTTAAAAGGAGCGTGCCGACAGAAAAGCACGAAGAGGAACATCGGGGAGGAAGTCCGCTGAACAGACTGACTCTGAAAGTTGTTTTTGCAATGATCAAGGTCTTACATGTACTCTGCACTACTGCTACTTTGCCTTAGCACATTTGAGCACATACCGTAGGTAACACTCCCAGAGTTCTGACAAATGTTGTATCCTATGTGATTCGTATTTTCTTGGAGTACACTTCTTGTAAATCAGCAGAAAAGGGAATGTAGAGAATGAGATCAGTCAGTGTTTTCTTTCATATGGATGGATATGACCCGAGTTAAATATTCATCAGGAAGCAGCATACATATTTCAGGGAGCTCTCTATTCCAAACAAATCCTTTTATATTCACCCTGTATTCTTTATAAAGAAATCATAAATAAACCAAAGGAATGGAACCTCTCTTTTGTGTTGGAGACCCCGCAGAGTGGGTGTTTACCTGCGGCAGCGCCTGCATGACGGTGTCCAGCAGAGATCTCATCCCTGTGGCCATCTTCAGGAGCTTCAGCACTGCAGACACACACGGGAGGAAGAGGAGGAGGAGGAAGAGTCTTTAGCAGCGAGATGATGCTGGTTTCGTCGGCCCATTTGCTGCAGGATTTACAATGTCACGGAACTAAACTAGCACGCAGTGAAGCACTCAGTAGCAGTGCTGGGATTTAACTCAAGTACTGTACATACGTTTAATGTCATGTGCTTTACTACTTGAGTATTTAGCATTTCCTGCCACTTTACATTTCTACTCCACTGCATCTCAGAGGGATATATTTGATTCCACTACATTTATTTGACACCTGTAGCTACGTGTCACCTTTTGCAGAAACAACATGTGTTTTGTATGATACATTAACTTTTAATCTATTGAATAGTACCAGTATCAATAAGTATTCATACTTTGCTCCACTTTAAAACCCTTTCTTGAAGTGGACCTATCATGCTATATTTGAATAATATATTGTAGGGCCATACCTATACAAAACATGTCTGTGAAGTTTTTTTTTCAAAATACCAAACAGATAATGCATTTTAGCCATGCCTCATTTAGCTCTTTTTTAGCCCTGTTTTTGTAAGGGCTGAATCTGAGAGAAGTCTTCTTTTCTGCTTTTGTGGCAGACTGCAGCGCCACCTACAGGCCTGGCATATGCACTACAGCGTCTCCAGCGCTTTCGAACGGCAATGGCCGTGGCTGTCTCCTCCTGATAGGTGGAGAGTTGACCATATAGGCGGAGCTCCTCGTTTCTGACGTCAGAGATATTTCAAATCTGTATCAGTCTGTATCAGCTCCGTTGCAGCCCCGTTTTTAGAGATTTGGGTATGGAGGAAAAGAGAGAGGGGACACATATTCATGTATAAAAGACGTACAAAAGTGCATTTTGCATGATAGGTCCCCTTTAAGACTAATAAGTACTTATTAGTCTTAACCTCTTAAGCCCCAAGCCTGTTTTTCAGGTTTCAGGCTCGAAAATGACATGCCCAAAACAAAGGACTATAACTTAACTTCTAAAAGGGTTATATGAATAATTTCTTTTATCAAAGCAAGGTCACATCTGTGAGTTGGATGTAGAAGTGTCAGAATCAATAAAGATGTTTCAGTGTCAGAGTAAATCCAGATGGAACATAGTCAAAAAGTGTACATTTTTGTCTCCGCCCAAATAAAACCCATTACTTATAGTGAAAACCACCCTTGAATGATGGGTTAGTAGCCTAAAAGCTTTAGGAATCCAAAGTACAACATATAATAAGTACCCTGTATCAAGATTGAGGCGAAACAAGTGAGAATTGACCTTTTTAGAGAGACTAAGCTTTGGGTACATTTGGTTCCATCAGTGCCATTTAAGAAAGTACTTACTATTTTTGGCCAGAGAGTGCCTTTATTAGAGATAGAGTGGTAAAGGGGGGGCGATCGAGTCGATAACATTGCCTGACATTTTCTGCGTACTTGGCAGTGGACTCCACATGTGAAGTACACACAGGTATGTAATGTACTGTATCTATGTGTAAAAGCCAGGAGGCATCTGTAACCCATTACTTTAAGAAATGACAATAACAAACAATAACACATTTGGTTAGAAAAAGTGCTTTACAACATCAATCACTTTCAAGAGGAGTGTCTGTAGTGAGGACTCATAGAGTGACAATGACTTATATACAGTCTGTGTGTGTGTGTGTGTGTGTGTGTGTGTGTGTGTGTGTGTGTGTATATCTACCTCGTGCTATCCTGAGTACTCTCATGATTCTGATGATGGTAGGATTTATAGGCAGCGCTGAGCTCATCTTCAGCTCCTCCAGCGCGATGCCCACGATGGACAGCGCCACTATAGCTATATCCAGCTGATTCCACCTAAACACACGGAGAAACGTCTTTCAATAGGAACAGCACATAGAAGTACAAACATGAATTCCCTGCTGTTACTAAAATTCAGTATAACAAACTACATGTGCAGCCTCTTACAGACTTCCCTGGTGGCAAAGTCAGAGTATCCCTATCAAGGAATGGCCGGTCTGTTGATGCCGATACGTGAGCCATTTGAAAGAGTAACGGGTAGCCCACCCACTACTCTCTGCAGTAGGTAACACATTGAGTTTACTCTGTGTGTACCAGATTCAGAGACAGCTTCATCCCGCAGGCAACAAGACTGTTAAACAACTGAAACAATTTCATAACATCTGCTACTTATAGTAATTATTTATCTATTATCTAATACATCATTCCAATAACTTGTATATAGACTCGTATTGCACTATTCCACCTTTTTTTCTCACTTTTAAAAAAAACTATTTTTCTTTTTGTATTACTTTTAATATAGTATATTTTAATATTGTCTGGTTATCTGTATTATTGTGTTGTATTGTTGGAGAAGCCTGTGACCTAAGATTTTCAACGACATAATTACTCTGTAGCTATGTTAGTTTGACAATAAAGAACCTTGATAAGTCACCACCAGGCCACCCTAAGACTGAAAACACACTCAATCACTTGAACTGAGTGTACTGACAATAGGGAGACATGCATGTACTCAAGCTATTATTAACAGAAAATAGATTCAAACGAGGAAATATTGAATAATAAGTATTCGATATTACAGCAGGGAGTTACCTGTCTTTGAAGAACCTTTGTATGCCGAATGCCGAAAGTTTGAGCAGGGCCTCGACGACGAAGATGCAGGTGAACACGTAGTTACAGTACTTCAGAACCTCCTCTAAATACTGAACACACAGGCGGAGAATTATTTCAAAGCTTTAGTTAATGGTTTGATGTGGCAATAGTCAATACTTATTTTGTATTCAAATGTTGTGAAAGCCTTTAATGGTATTAATAGTGGAGATAGAGCAACAGCTCCTAAGAAGCTAAACAAGGTGATCATTGCTCTCAAAGGAGATTATGGCATCCCTCCAAAAATACATCAGAAACTTCTGCTTATTAAAATCCACAGGCTTCACGGGAAATACAAATATTAGTGATTAGCATAGTGCCAGCGGTGATGCCGACTTCAGTGTATAACTAAGGAGTTTTATCTGACAGCAAATGTTAAATCAATGCGGTACGGTTATTTTTGGAAGCACACTCACTTCCCAACATACTTGCACTGACTGTTTAGCACAATACAAACTAAAGACTTCAGATTTATAGTGCTACTAGCTAAAGATAACCAACACTTTAGCCATCATTGAGAGGACAACTAAACATGTATGGAAATAGGATTACAGTGAGCAAAGTTCAAATAAATGTTTACATCCAATACCTTTAAATGTCATGTCTATGTGCAGTAACCTTACCTTTGGCTGATTGTAGTGCTCGATGCTCATGGTGAAGACGTTGATGCAGATGATGAAGGTGATGAAGAGGTCCAGGTAGTGGCTGGTGCACAGCGTGTGGATGTACAGACGCACGGGGGAGTAGTCCGCATAGTACGGCCTCTGCTTGGCTTCTGGAGGTCACAGACACACACGTACAAACAAACATAGGGAAGGAGGACACAGAGAGAGACACATATCAGAATGCAGAGAGACAGGAAGAGTGGAGCTGTGAGTTAGTGATCTGACATGGAGATATAACATCTGTCCAGTGGTGTGCACGGGAAGGTGTAGGGGCTAAGGAAGGGGAACCACCACTGTTTTCTCTTTGACAGCAGAAAATCACTTCTTATACTTACTATTGATTTGTTTTTGCCCTCACATCACCTCAAAGCGGCAGCCTGGGCGCACCGCTGGCATCTCTACTGCGTCAAAAATGTTCAATTCTCATATTGGGTGGTGCCCCTTTCATGTTATCACGGCCCCTGCCCCTCACTAAGTCTGTGCACACCACTGCCTGTATGGTATGTTCAAATAAGAGAGGACATGAGAGTCACAGCTAGCCTAATTTATCAATTATATAAACAAGTTTTAAATGTTCAAGGAATACTTCCCTACAAAGCGATATCAATTACTCACTTGAATTCTTAAAGAAAACGTCACTCAAGCGATACTCACAAAGAAAATGACCTGAGCAGAGACTGAGAGGGTTTACCGGTGTGTTGCAAATGGTGAGGTTTAAGTAGAAATGCATTGGTCTGTGAAGTATTGTGCATTACAACTGAATGTATTAGAGTTTGATTGTAATGCAAGAGCTGTGTAAGATTAAGTAGACATATGTTTTGATATCATTTTGTAGTTGTTAAAATGTTTATTATGTACTAGCTGCCCTTACTAAGTATGTACTATTACATTCAGTCATTATACTTTGGACGTACTACTTTGTCCTAGGATTGTATCGTGATATGTGACCCTCTTGTTCTTAAAGGATTGTGGGTGAGAATAACTAGAAAAGCATGCTGACTTCCATACTGGAGAATTTGATCGGATGCAGTACAACATCCTCGTATTTTGGGTATACTGCATTTCATATATTGTGTATTTGGACATATCTTACTGGCATACTAAATAGTATGGTAGTCTGGGTATTTGAACGTTTGAAATTTGAAAGTAAGACTTCTGTGTTTTCCAAGAAGGCATGCCAGGAAAACAATGTTTTCTTCAATATTTCAAGTTAACACCAGGTGAGTAATTGACATACAAATGGGCAATTTGTATAAGTATTCCCTCACTCGAGTTCAAATAACTCAATCCTTAATATCACCCTTTAATTCTTCCTTCAAACAGTCTTTGGTAAACATATTCCCGAACTAAAGGGAGTGGCAGTCATAATTCTTTCAGAGGGCTCCTTTAATGGGAGCATTATTGGAAGATTCATTGCCTCTCTAATAATGATATTCTTGTCAAGACTTAGAGGTCTCGCCCTGCATCCTGACCTCAAAAGAAGTCTACATTAAAGCCCAGACTAAAGAGTATACTTTGTGATAGGTGCATTACAGCCTCTGAATAATTAAATAGACTTTAAGTGAAGCTGAAATAATGAATGAAGCTCAGAGGTGGAAAAACCTCGCATCCATTAAGCTTAAAGCCTAGGTTCTGATCGACTGTGTACTCACATGTCCATACATGACGATTGATGATGGCTTTTATGGTACGTGCATGTTTATGTCACCGTCCCAAGTTTACACCATGTCTGCTGCATGCTTACATGCCTTTGATGTCTATGGGTGAGAGGGGCTGCGCAGGGTGCGTTCAACAACACAATTAGTATGTGAAGTATCTATAATCTTAATATTCACAACGTTTCACTTTTCAACTCGCCCAATTTGAAGGTTTTCGAAAAAATACTGTAATGTTGAACAAACGCTCGAGCCACTATTCTCTTTGATGACATCCCTAGTCATTTCAAACCCCTCGGAAAAATCTCAATAGTCTAAAACGTATTTTTTTCAAGACTAGACTTATTGCATGGCCAAACTCTGGAGACAGTTAATCTTCACCATTAGCAGTTTTAGACCAGAGAGACATGTTGTAACAATGGAAAGAGTGGCGCTCTGCTCACACCTTGTACTGCCTTCTAGTGTGATTCTGTCATTTTATATTTAAGCCAAATGGTTGTGCTCTTTGATAAAGCCATGTGCTTCTTCTAATTCCCTTTTCTCCTTTCTTCAGTAAAAGGCTTCACTGCTTTGTGGCGTGAGACTTTTTTTGCAATAAGTGGTGAGTTTCTGATGTTTCTGGGGCTTCAGCCTCGTAACCTTCTATCCTTCTTATCTAACAAACAAATCATCTTCATGTCCCAATGTATTTGCAGGTTTAGCAGCCTGCTATGTTTCTGAGTCTGCCAGTCAAAGCATGTTCACAGGAAATGTCCTTCTGGCCTGTGTCGAGAGACGCCGCAGGCTCGGGTTGGTTCATGCACCCGGAGGGGGAGGGGGGGAGGAGTTGGCGTTTCACTGATCAAAATTTTGATAGGCAAAATTTTAGGAGACAAATGGAGGCAAACAACAACCTCGATCGGCATCACATGCATTCATTGGTTCTCATTATTAATTAGCAATGTTTGGTCATTTAAGAAATGAAATAGAGACTACTGAATACTGTTTTTACTGGTTTGCATGCAATGTTTGGGGAGGGTTGGGGGGAGGCTGCAGTCACATGCATCAGACTGACGTAGCCTACGCCTTCTGCCAGTGATTAGTCACCGTTTGCGTGAGCTACCCAGTCTTTTAAACTCTCCCTCTTTATTTTTAAATCTCTATAAATGTCCCTGTTTTATTTCTCTTTCTCTTTTTTCAGGCTCTGAAAGCAGGCAGTGCTCAGAAAAATAGACTACCGACCAGCCCCTCCATTCTCCTTACTCCTGCGCTTTTTCTCTATCATTTTGACCCTCTTCTCCTCCCGTAAGCGAGTCTCCTCCTCCTCCTGGTCCTGGCGGCACTTGTGGAAGTTCTCCACCACCACGCCGACAAACATGTTGAGCACGAAGAAGCTGACGATGAGCAGGAAGGAGATGAAATAGAGCAGCATCCAGGGGTTGTTGTTCCTAACAGGCTGAAAAGACAATTGGAGAGCAAGACAAGTTTTCATATTGTGCAGAGGTAGGACTCTTTTGTTTTTGACAAATGCCACATTGCCCTTGTAACGCCTCACATTATGTGCATACAGCAAATCCTTTGGTTGCCTTGAGTAATCTTTCCAGAAATCAAAAGGATAATTTCACGGTTAATGTAGCAAGATCTCTGCTGATGCTATAACGAATAAAGGCTCCTTTGGTTTGAAGACTCTAGTTTTTGCCAATAAGTCTTCACTATTTCAGCACAGTACACCACAGTCCTGTGCCTGCTATAAAATCACATTTAGAGCCGTGCTTTTGCTTAGAATCATTACAGCACCCCTGCCACTCTGTCCCTCTATTATACTCCAATATGTATTTAAGATGTTTTCAGGGCTGTTAAAGCTTTCAATACAAGATTATAGTGCCACTATTCCCCAACACGCCTTAAAGTTCAAATGTCTTGAGCTGCTTTACAGGTTGGTTAATACCAACACTATCTAACTAGATCTGATATGTAATGTTATTTTATTTGATATGCAACTGCACTTAGCCTAGAGTAGGTGTATAATAAAATAAGTGGCACAAATCACAGTTTCCAGTTAAGAATATAAAGAAAAAAGGTGTCATACAAACATGAGAAGTTAAAGTAAAAAAATGTGCAATAAAAGATCAAATAAAACACATTTGAAATCCGATATTTATATACCTTTCGTGAGACATCATCTGTTGTATAATGTCTAAGGATTTTTGATACACACAGGATTTGAAATGGGTCAGGCTTCATGTATCTCAAACCGTCATTACCTGTTGGTCCACTCCCACTGCATCCAGCCCGTCATACATGATGTTGACCCAGCCGTCCTTACAGGACAGCACGAACAAAGACATCAGAGCCTGGAGAGGAAGAGTAATTCAAGTTTAAATACTGACATCTTAACATCAACATTAGCATGTGTTTTGTCCTCTCAATGACAATTAGTTCCTGTAAATAGAAGATGATGATAATGCATTTTATTTATATAGCGCTTTTCACAACTCAAATACGCTTTACAGTATGAGGGAGGGTAGACAAACAAGGACAGGCAAACAAGTATGTAAAAAATAAAAAGGCAGTCAAGAGGAAGTTGATTGAGAGGGGGGGGGGCTTATGGGTAGACAGAGTTGAAAAGATGTGTTTTGAGGCGGGACTGAAAGACTGTGAGGGACTCAGAGTCACGGAGATCTTGGGGGAGGGGGTTCCAGAGCCTAGGAGCTGCCACTGAGAAGGCTCTGTCCCCAAAGCTGCAGAGTGTGGATGTGGGAATGGATAGGAGTCCGGCTGCGGTGGATCTGAGGGACCGTGGGGGATGCACATTCACTGTTGATAGCTGAGTAGAATTTGGTTTGAATATCAAACTAATATTTAAATGTTTAATAGTTTAACTTTTAATAAAGCAAGTTAGACAGGTAAACCATATTTAAAAAATGAAAAATATATATAGCCGTGTAGAGAAAATTGAAAAATCACACTTACATCGTGTTATTTAAACTGACAACACATATTTTGTATAGAAAATGCGATGTGTACTGTTCCAGCAGAATGTAGCAATACAAGTTATATTTTTGGTGCAACCCTATCCTCCCCTCTCTCTTCCTCTCACACTCAGTCCATCAATCCGTACCTGAACCAGGTTGTCAAAGTTGTACTTCCTTCTGATCCAGCGGTAGTTGGCCTGCAGACAGTCGGACTTGTTGGTGACATTCTTTGTGTCCAGACCTTCACAGTGGTAGAACTTGCCTTTGAACAGCTAGAGAGACAGAGAGAGAAAGAGAAGTCTGTAAGGCGACTTGGCTGCCATTCAAACATTATCTCAATTACACCGGAGCTCACAGCTTCTTAAACGTCCAACTATTAATGCCAGTAATAAAAGGACGTTTCATTAAGCACACTCTTATCAGACGTTAGTGCGCGGCTAAAAGCTAGCCTGGGGTCATGTTGTCCTTTAACCTAATTGTCATTCTTTCAAAACTCACACTCTTAAGGAACAATTACCCATTGTAAATTCAAGACACTTCCATTCCCCCCTCGAGCCACAATCACATATTCAGCTGCTCAACGACACTGACATTTAAGCTAAAGAGGCTAAATGTGTTTTGTCCTCGAGCTTCGCAAAAGCAAATGACAAAGCATTATGCAGTGTAGGCTTTGGATTTCAACCTAGCTTACATGTCTGTTTTGTCAACTATAGCGTTGCAGGAATTAGTTTTAAACTTTACATTTTAATTTGTTAGCACTTCCTGGTTCTCTCGTCTCAAAGTCAAGGAGTTTTTTCAGTGAGTGTTTCATCAGGGTTGCCAACTCTCACGCATCTGGGGTGTGACACACGCTTTCACTTTCAATCTCACGCTGCCCAAACTATTCTCACGCCAAAAACAAGATGAACCGGCGATCGGTTTTGGTTGGTTATTTACAATGTTGAGTTGACCGCTGCTCAAGCTGTGGATCCGCTCCCTCCCCGCCCCCACCACTCTTAACAACGTTAACAGACAGCAGAGCAGTGGGAGCCGGTTGGTCAATCTCCGACCCGCATTGCGCATGCGCAGATTCAGTAGAAATGATAAAAAAGTTAAAGTCTGCTGCTTATTACTAGGCCACAATAGAGTCAAAGAGTGTATGAGAGTGAGTGTGTTAATTCATATATTTGGCAGTTTGGAGTAAGTCTGTAGATGTGTGTGTGTGTGTGTTTCATGTGTAGGCCTCTCACGATGATTTTCCCGGAAATTATTGCGATAAACGATAATATTGTCGGCACCGTTGTATGACCATTTTAGACCACTGACATAATGAATATATATAATAATAATTCAAGTACATCCTTTCAAACTGCTAGTCACATCCTCATGTAAATGGAAATGTATCGAGTTCATTTTTATTTATCGTAAGATAAGTCAATTAATTGCTTATTGCGACAGGCACACAATAAAACAGTGGAAACTAACATGTGTTTGACTTTCATTAGTGAATGAAACTTTGTGCCCTTTATAGTCTGTTTCCAATATTGTCTATTTGTATATATTGTATATATATCCTATATATATGCTAAGGTCCCGCTACTGACACGATAGCAGTCATTTAGTGCGCTATGTGTAATTAAACCCATGATATCAAAATCTCACTCCAGCCAGGTACCCAAAGTTGGCAACCCTGGTTTAATACAACTTTATAAGATTTGTACCATTTGTTTTAGGCCTTAAAATACGTCAGTAAATAACCCAATCATGAATGTCAGATGCTTTTAAGTTTCTAAAATGCAAAGGTGGCTAAATAAGACAGCTTAAAGGTCATCACGACAAACATTAGCCACATTTAGCTTTGCGATGCGACCGTGATGTTGTTTGTTTATAGCATTACGTTAGCTATTTACTTCTGCCAATGCTTTAACTATCATAAAAATGATCCTGCTGAACAAAATGTGTAAGTATCATAAATGTTTGATTGCTAAAGATCTTTTCGAGTGAACCCTTGTGACGCTAACTTCCGTTTTTTCCTCCTAAAAAGGTCAACACAGCAGCACCCGTTTGTTTGTGTTACTGAATGGGATTGCACAATACCTGCACCCCCAAGATGCCAAAGACAATGAAGAAGGCGCAGCAGATGAGGACAATGTTCCCGATGGGTCTGAGCGAGGTGATGAGCGTCTCCACAACCAACTTCAGCCCCGGAGCTCGGCTGATCACCCTGAAAAACACAAATAAAGACACATTCATGTTTGTTAGCAAGCCACTGTTCATTTCGTTCCGGAAAACGTATCAACTTTTCCTCCATGACTAAGACGAACAAGCTGCCGTGAAAGATCTTAAGAGCGGATGAACGATACAAGCAAATACAGATGCATTCACGTGATATGCCACCATCAATTCTGAATCCGTGCGATCCTTTTTGATATTTATGCTAAACAGGGCAGCAGTCAACTTCTTTATCTAAAGATATTGATGGCACCTCAAATTCTAACGCATTAATAGCAAGATAGCCTTTTTATCTCTCTGACTTTGCATGGCATAAACAGTTTTTCAAGTCTTTGTTATGTGACTATATCATTTGTTTTCAACCCAAGTTACCTCCCTTAAGCCCCTGTCACACTGTCCCGAAATTGACACCCGATGGACAAACGAATATGGAATTGTGACTTTCGCACGAAGATGGCCCCGAACCACACACGAAGGCAACATTTACATTACATTTAAGACATACAACTGCAATGAAAGTAACACAAACAATTATGTTACAGTACTATGATACTGTACTGATATCTTCAGACTTTGTTCTTTACTTTATCCGTCTTTATATGTAGAAGATATTAAGTTTTCTCCGTAATGTTGTTTCCATAACAACAACAACTTCCTGTCAACTCGCCTTCAAAATAATATATTATACTTTTTAGTTTCACAGAACACAAATTGGGTTATTTACATAATATATTTACATGATTTTGTTGTGCAATAAAACAACCCGATGGACACACGATAAAGGAAATGTTCAAATTCGGCTGTGATCGTAGCAACATCGGGCCATTCGTGAGGGCATCTTAAGCCATCGTATGACCGCCGGTGGAGTTTCTCAGGCTCCGGCAGCAACTTCGTGAGCGGTGGCAAAATCTTTGGCATGCCAAAAAATTGCCGAAGGACCTTGAGAAGGTTCATTTTCGTGTTGAATTCGTGTGTCAATTTTGCCCTTCGTAAGGCCATCGTGAGGGCATCGTGTTATCATCGGTGCCATCGGGCATTCGCCCCGATCAGAGTGAGGTGCCCAAGCCAATCAACGAAGTTGCCGCTCACGAAGTTGCTGCCGGAGCCTGAGAAACTCCACCGGCGGTCATACGATGGCTTAAGATGCCCTCACGAATGGCCCGATGTTGCTACGATCACAGCCGAATTTGAACATTTCATTTATCGTGTGTCCATCGGGTGTTAATTTCGGGACAGTGTGACAGGGCCTTAAACCTACGTCGTAATGATTCCATATAAGACAAGGATAATCTTAGATAAGAGTATGTGTAAATAAATAAGATCAAAATAACCTTCCTGTTTCTGTGATGCTTACACACAGAGCTATCCACACAACAACACGCAGGGATACACCGTGTACCTCAGTGGGCGTAGTGTTCGGAGCAGGCGTAGGACTCGGAGGATGCCCAGGATCCTGTTTCCTCCAGTGTAGGCCAGAGAGACCAGGATGTCCACCAGAGACACAAACACCAACAAACCATCCAGAACGTTCCAGCTGGACTTGAGGTACGTCTGCTTCCCGAAGCAGAAACCCAGCGCTAAAACCTGGAGAAACAATGATGGTAATATTTAGAACATCTTTCAAGCTTTAAATTAGAGATATAACTAGAAATTATTGTTTCAAAATGTTACGAAGTACAACTTTTAACCGAGCTGATTGGAGTTTACCTTTATGGCCATCTCTGCCAGGAAGATCACAGTGAAAACGTAGTTGGACACACTCAGAAACTTTCGCTCCTAAGGAAAATGTTATAATAAAAACATAATTAAATGAAGTTAAACACGGCACAGAAGCAATACTAGCTCTTGGTTTACATTTAGCTAGCTAATGAACAGGTTGTAATGTAATGTTCCATTTGTTTGTCTACAGCGTGTCCACATTTGACAGATATGAGCAGTAGCAAAAAGTTTATTAACAGCTTGTATATTGGGTACAGTACAGTACAGATGGGTACAGTACAGTACAGTACAGATGGGTACAGTACAGTACACGTTGTGTAAACTCTAATTTGTCATGTTTGTATTCAGTAACCTGCAAATAGCTCAGACGAATGTGAGTAAAGAGTGAAGCGTATCAACAGTAGGTGCAAGCAGAGGTCCTTTGTTTCAGTGTGTGTCTCACCTTGCTTTCAATACTTATACCAGGCCTTTCCAGAGCAATGGTGATGCAGTTGAGGAAGATGAAAATAAGAACCACATGGTCGAACAATTTGTGAGAGATCACACTTTGGCACCAGCGACGTAATCTAGACAAAAACACGCACAGTCATCTTCAATGCTAACGCTCGGTTAGCGCTATTGACCAAACAATTAGCAGCAAGAAAGCAGCACAAGGGGGGAAATGAGAGAGGTGAAGCGAGATGAGATGAGCGGAGGAAAAGCGGAGAAAGAATAGAATAAAGCAGATTGATGATGAAATGTTGTAGACTCACTTGCTCTCTGGAGAGAACACATACAGGTTCCAGTCGTCACGCTCTTTGCACCAGCTGGGCTTCATGTTTTGAAGCTCTTTTGTGAGCCAGAGCCAGAAAGAACTCTGCAGAGGTGAGAGGTCAGACGTTGACACAAACATCTTATTTTTAGGTTATAATCACATTACATTATTTCTTCAATTACACCAGAGTCATTTTCATTTCATTGTTGAATACTCAAAGTTGTTACAACAATTGTTCAGGTAATTGTATTCCCATAGCATGGTGTTTATTGGGAGTGGAAACAGCATTGCTAAAGGGCTAATATCGTTCATATTCGTAAAATAGTCTTATTTAGTGGGGAAAGAAATCGTATTTCCACCTGCGCCTGAAAACAATTCAATATTATTTAAATGTTGTATAAATCCATAGTAAAAAAATAACAGACCGCATCAATAGCCGCAAAGGGGTTTACTTGTCCAATCAACAATTACACTCCAAAAGCATTTAAAAACAATGCATAATATAATGAGTTCCCACAGTGTTGCTGGTGTTAGCCCTTCCTTGTTTATTTGAATCTACAGGGAAACACAAAACACAAGTGTTTTCTTACCGTGAGATAACTGCACCATGACTCTTAACTTAGCGGCTGCACAAGCTCAATACAAAGTGTTGTGAAACTCATTAAACTTTGTAATAAAACAAAGCTTCAGGATTCTAATTAAAAACAGCCCAAAGTCAAGCCTCTCAGCGAGACTGTGGGAGTGTGTGTGTGTCGTGATGTTTGTTTGTAAGTGTGTGTGGAAACTGAATGAAGACAAACTGCTAATCATATATTCTTGGATCTGACACACACAGAGCACCTTGCATACACACTTTAGGTGTCACGCACACATTGACGCTTACTATGCCACACACACACACATAAGAAATGCATATAGTACACTTGTGGAAGATGTGTTTTAAACCTCAATTTTCACATTTCATGGCTTGTAAAAACTCAATTTAATGACAAATCTTATCCCAACCCATTGTAGATTTCAACCTTTCTCTATTTTTCACAAACGCACAGAAATGTACAGCCACACTGATTTCTTGTTTTGTACCCACAGAGAAAACAATTAGTGCCCAAGCCAATCAATTACAGCACGACAATTAGCGTCCCCTCGGGGCTTGCAGTGTGAAAAACAAAACGCATTATAACATCTCAAAGTGGGAGAGAGACAAAGGGCAAAGAAAACAAAGAACAAGAACCGAGTAAGAAGCAAAAGAAAAAAGAACAGAAATAAAATATGCAAGCAGTCGGAGAGGGCAGATTAAGAGATTAAGAATTTCAATAAGAGAGAAAAAACCACCGAGGTGCAACTGCTCAGCAAACTTGTCCCCGGGTCTATGAAGACACATTTCTTGCTCAAGCTTTTGTTTGATTGTAAAACAATACGCAGTGAGAATAAAGACCTGATGTGAACGTAGTTATCATACTGGGGACATTTCAATTCGATTCTCCACCCGTAGGTTAAAGTCCTCTACGTGTGCCGTTTTGGTTTCAAGTCCCTGGATCGTACCAAAAAAGTCCTAGAAAGACAAGGTAAACTTAAAGGTGGGGTAGGTAAGTTTCAGAAACCGGCTCGAGTGCAGTACAATTTGAAAGTACACAGCCGAAACGAATCCGCCCCTTCCTTCAGACTTCCTTACAGAGCACCTCCTCCAACACACATGAACGCACATGACGTCAGCAGACTGGTGAAAGTGGCCGCCTGTTGCTGGCGAGTCATTGAAGTACTGCTGCAATGCACGCCCAATGACGGCACGCCCAATGACGGCACGCCCATTGACGGCACGAGATACATTTGTGCGTGCACGAGATGGAAGGCTGACAGACAGGGAGGCAATCCAATCCGTTTAGCCGGGACGGAAGCACTTAAGATATTCATTGCTATCGGGATGTTATGAGCATTCCATGGAATATAATAACAAGTGTATCTCGAGCCGGTTTCTGAAACGTACCTACCCCACCTTTAACGAATGTGCATTTAAAAAAGAGGAATAGTTTCGGCGAAAACTAAAAGGTACCATGGGGTCAGATTAGGTTCGTTTAGCATGAAACATTTGAAACAACTAAAGGAAAAGTTAAAAAAGAAAGTAGAAAGAAAGTGAGGTCATAGAAAACGATTTCTGCTAAAAAGTGAGCAAAGATTGAGTCAGACCTAAACATTTCAGATGTGTGTATCTCACACTGCTGTAACCTTCATTCATGTGCTTTGTTATTCATGTCTTATTATCTTTGCTCTTAAATGAGTGATTTTGAAATGCCATTTTATAATATTTTTCTTAATGTCTTTCCTTTTTGTAAAGCACTTTGAATTGCGTTGTGTTGAAAGGTGCTATATATATATACTGTATAAACGTGCCTAGCCTTCTAAATGTTCTCTTCAAGGCCCTGACTCATAACTTACGTCCTCATCTATTTCATCATCAGGCGAGAGGTCTTCCTTGGGGTCGGGGTTCACGAGGGGGGGGTCGTAGTTCAAGGTCCTCCCGTTGCAGTCTGCGTACTCGGCTGTGATGGAGGGGCAGAGAGTGGACGCCTGCAGCAGCTCCAGGGTCTCCGGCCGCAGTCTGTTGTTTCCCTCGGCCTCCCCCTTGTCCTCCCCGCCATCTTCCTCCTCCCCCCCCTTGCCGGACAGCAGGCTCTCCCTCTCGCCGCTGGTGTCTCGCCGCTTGAGGCTCGGCGCTCTTCCTAGACTGTTCCAGCTGGAGCGACGGCTCCCCCAGCGGGGGGGAAGAGGGGAGCGCCGGCCGGGACTCGAGAGGCTCTGGAAGAGACAGGAAGTATGGGTCAGCTACGTGTGTTTAGGCTACAGAGGTTTTAAAGCAATATCTGGCCATTAAGGGTTTAACAAATAGAAGTTATGCATGCCCAACTTAGCATGATAGCATGAACTAAATGAAATGTATTAAAGTACATGTCAAGATATTATAAGGCAACTTCAATTTGAGATTGATTCCTCATTTTAGGATTCTCAGTTGATTCTGCAGTAACTTTTTCTGTCAGTCTTTTGAAATCACAAGAAAAATAAAAAGCGATTCTTTCTTGAGTTTTTTTCCACAGATGCTACACATTGCCAAGTAAGACACTGACCAAAACACACCTCTTCAGACTGGCTTTTAATCTGTGAATTATGCTGTATTGCTGTTTTAATAACTTTTAAATTCTATTTTATCATGTTTTATCACCACTGTAAAGCGTCTTTGAGCACCTGGAAAAGCGCTTTGAAATGCAATGTATTATTATTATTAAGAAATAAACTATAGATATGATAAACCCAATAATGCATTTGATTGTTTGCCAGAATTTCCAATAATGTTGTCTCTCACTGGTCAGAAGCTAAATATAGTAGTAACAGAAGTTTGCTACTTGACCACATGTTATGCTCATATTCTCAACTTTATGGAATATGTTTAATATATCCTTACCCATGAGCTAACACCACTCAATCTTGGCTCCTTATATTCAAAGATTTTGTTTAATTCGTGATTTCCTTGTGGAATAAATGCTGTGCCTGTCTACCTGTGTTATTAAACCACTATGTTTATCAGGGCAAAGAAAAGTGCATTTTGGGTACCGGCATTATACCTTTGTTTGAAGTTTATCTTTTACCTGCTCTGTTCTCTTTCAACAAATAGAAAGTCAAGTAAAATAAGACTGAGAAGTGAGTTTAGGTTCATCTCAGTCCACTGAGCAGTCTTTAAGGAATTCAAAGGTCCTTCGAGAACATTTAAAGCCCGACGTTACCTCATCTGACTTGAATAATTAGATCTTCAGGCCCCTTGTGGTCCTCCATTAGGGACCATTGTGTCTGTGTACATGAAGTTGGTCTAATAAATATGTCTGCTCCTCTACTCTGCCAACTCAGCGCTCTAAATCCATGCTTCGATGCTCTAAACATGACACCACTCACCAGAGAATGCTGGTCGTAGGCTATGGGGTCCATGGAGGTGGCGCTTCCACGGCGAGAGTCTGCATGAACACTTCCTGAGTCTGAAAAGCCCAGTCCTGCATCGGCATACTGAGGCACCCCCTCTCTGTACATGAGGTCGTCCCCGAGGACAGACTCGGGTCCCAGGGAGCTCTTGGGAGTGGGCATGGGCGTGGCTGCAGTGCGCATGATTATTGGAGGAGCCATGGAGCCGCGAGGGTCAACATGACCGTTGGCTGTCATCATTAGAGAGTACATTTTAAGCTCTGTGGAGGCATAAAGTAATTTCTATAACAATACAAACAACACATTTTCAAATGTATTAAAACAAACATTCTGTCATTTAACCTACCAGAGTCTCTGAGCTGGGATACCTTCTCGTCATCATCAAAGTTATCTGATTTCTTCTCATCGTCCGACTCCGACCGATTAGCATCACCCTGGAAACAGGAAGGATTTTTTTCACGGTCTACGAGAAGTATCCGATACTGATCTTTGACTAGAGCTGTGAAGGTTAAGGCTAGTTCCAAATCAGGAAGTGATGGAGCAGCAAAGTATGTATTGCAAACCCGGAAAATGCATTTAAATGGCTTTTTTACTATTGCTGGCCATGCGTTGATGATGCAGTGCCTCCGGCCTCCAAAGGAACACGATGCTGAATAGTTTGCAATGGAGAAGCATCGACAACTCCAAGAGCAACACATTTCCAACAGTGATAGCTTAATGGGTGGCTGCAGCTTGAAGGCAGACCCACATTGTGGAGGACGAGGGACTCTTTGAAATCATTTTCATCGCATTTGTATATATTATAACTTCTTATAAAACGTTTTATTTGTGATTAATCGTGAGTTAACTATGGTCAATTATACGATCAATCACCACTAAGGATTTGAATTGATTGAAAGCCCTTCTTTGAACGCCTTGAAGTGAATGAGGACATTCTTCTAGCTGAAGGCTCACTGCGTGGCAACATGATTTGGATGAGGATGATCTGAAATCATCAGTGGGTTTGTTTCGGACCGGGTCTCACTTTCATTCTCCCATCCCTCTTACGAGCAGTGGGGCCTCACATGATGTGACAGAGAGGTAATGAGAGTCCGGACCGGCGGCTGTGAGACTCCATCGGGAGTTAATTAACATCGAGAGAATCTCATCGGCATTCACACAGTTGTGGATGAGAGATGCTCGTTAAAAATTAGACATTCATCTTTACTCCACTGCCCTGGCATTAGAGCCATAATCGCAAGAATCTCTGAAATGTGAAGTTGCATATTGAAAAAACAAGTGTTTCATTAAAGTGAAAGGGTGAAACCGAATGACATATTGTGCTTTTTGTGTTCTCACCTCGGCCTGGAAGCCTTCAACCAAGATGGCCACAAGCAGGTTGAAGAGCACGTAGTTTCCAAATGTCATGAGAGCGACAAAGTAGAGCGCCGCCCACGGAGAGGTGGAGGCCATGCCGTTATACAGCACCACGTTCCAGTCCTCCTGGGTGAGAATCTATCGATTGAATGAAACACAAAGTCAGCTTTAGAGATATGTTATTTAAAAAATAGAGGAAAAGGTCGAGGGTCCACGGGCATGGAGAGAGAAGAAATGAAAGGTACATAAAGAGAATGAAAGGGGAACACATGGAGAGTAGAGGGGGAAAAGGAAGCAACGTTATCCCTTCATGTGTAATATGCTTTATAAAATACAGTACTCAGTTGTGAAAAGAAGTTCTTAAATCTTTTTGATAAGTAAACGTAGTAATACCACTCTGTTAGAAGTCGAAATACTGCACTTAAAATACAAAAACTTCTCATGCTGAATAGCCATTTTCAGAATATAATATCTACTGGATTATAATTAGTGATCCATTACTGTGAACATCATTTTTAATTGAGTAGCTAGTAAACGTGGAGCCATCTTTAATGACTTCACATACTGCCAGGTACATGAAGTAAGGGATAATGTGCAGTGAGCCGGTGTTAATGAGAAAAGAACCCCGACAGGGTGAATCTCTAGAGGCTGTCTTCTGCTGCTTCCTTTAGTGTTTATTTCCCGTGTGTCTCCCGTCCCTGTTTTCTCCATTGTCCAGCTCTGTGGCTTTGGAGCTCTTTCCTTCTCTTCCACTGATTTTCATGAACTCCAAATACAGTATGAATATTAAAATAAATAATCCATGGTCAGACAAAAAACTAATTTGTCATTTTGTGGCAACAGCAGACTCCTTTCTGCAGATTAATATGACTTTGAATATGAGTTCAAAGCTTCCTAAGCAAGGGTATGTTATTATTAGCAGGGGACTGCTATCAAGAAAAAGCAAACCTCTGAATTTCCAAATCAGAATCCAGTATTCAACCAAGCCATGTAATAACCATATTCATATGTCCTTAGTTGATTGTTATTATGTATGAGTAACATGAATGTGCAAAGTAAGTTATGTTGTCAGTAAAAAGTATAATATTTGCCTCCTATGTAGTGGATTAGAAGAATATAGTTTGAAACAAATTGAAATACTAGTACTCTACTACTATTTAAGTACATTTGTTTATTTTATTGCCATCCTGCTACGATACTTCCCGTCATGCACATGGGATCACCACACATCGTACAGTAGGTGTTTGTGTGTGTGTTCGTGTGTGTGTGTGTGTGTGTGTGTGCGTGTGTGTGTGTGTGTGCGTGTTTCCCTGTTTAAATCAATGTGAGTGATGAAAGCATTTAGAAACTGGGACGGCATTCATGAGGCGGCATGAAGCCTCACTCCGTCTCTGCCCACTCATTAAACACAGTGGCAGGAATACACTGTGCGGATGTGTGTATGTGCATATTCATGTGTGTGTGTGTGTGTGTGTGTGTGTGTGTGTGTGTGTGTGTGTGTATTGTATTATCTCCCCAGAAAACTATAATAAGTATATATTGTGAGCAGAATGCCTTCACATGACAGGCAGCTCTGAATAAAATGCTTTTTCAGCATCATACTCCCACACGAAACGCACACACACACACACACACACACACACACACACACACACACACACACACACACACACACACACACACACACACCACACACACACACACACACACACACACACACACACACACACCACACACACACACACACACACACACACACACACACACACACACACACACACACACACACACACACACACACACACACACACACACACACACACACACACACACACACACACACACACACACACACACACACACAAAATGAGACAGTCCACTGCATTCTGTGTTCCAACTTTCTGCTGACGCATCCCTTATAGAAAAGGAGGATGATCTATCTGGAGCAATTGAACAATATCTCCACATAGGGAGAGTTGGAAATATAAATGATAGTGAGAGAGGGTGTGCATAAGCAGAAATTCTCATTTCACAGCATTTCTCTAATGAGCAGAACTTGGCAGTTGAGTTTGGCATGCACACGGACACACACAAATACACACACAACAACTCTTAAGGCTCAGTTTGACATTTTCCTTGGGTTGGCCAAGGAGTACACATAGGCCTGTGTTGGGATACAAATATACACAAACTGACGAGTGTAACTCTTACAAATACAAGGTAGGACGGATGTGATGCTGCTGTGGACATCTGTCCCCCCTGTCATACACGGGTCACTCTGGGGAGCTTTTTTAAGAAGGAGAGCCAGAAACATTTCTGCCTCACTGCCAGAAGATGATGCACACGTCACCAGCCTACACTTTGGCTGTATAGTAAATGTCCTTTAAGTCAGGGGTTCCCAACCTTTTTTCCCAAGAGCCCCCCCAAATGACTCCTGCTGGAAGTTGCACCCCCCCCCACACACACACAGGGGGGGCAACAGCGGTAATTAAAGTTTAAAAGTCTCAAAATGCTACAACTACTGTCACAAACTGGATGAATGTGAAGTATGTTGTTAAAGGAGGATGAAAGCGTAATTAAGGAGCACTATTGAGTGACTTTGATGGTTATTGAACTCAGGATTAATTCATTTGGATTCCCGCTGTATGAAGAAATGAAAGGACGGCACAAGTGGAAACAATTCACAAAGGGATTAAACTGTTTAAAACACATGCTCAAAGTAAAACGGATTTTGCCGATGTGTTTATGTGGATTCAAAAGTCGTACATAATCTACAAAATGGAGGAGACCGATCTGATCGGAGCAACTGACAAATGATCCAACTGAAACCGGCATGGACAATGACTATGTTTTAAAAATGCGCTTATCCAGAAAAGCCTGGTTTGGACACTTTACGGGCAGAAGAAACATTTCTATAGAAAGAATTATACATTTCTGTCTTTGTATGCCTTTAATACTAACTTGAATTGTTATTAAAATGAATTAATGAATTATTTTGTATATGTTATTGTAATGTAGAGACAAGGCTTTTAGTGACAATCATGTATTGCCTTACAATATATGTTCCTCAGGTTGGGAACCACTGCTTTAAGCTAACCCTTTAAGCAAAAGTAACATATACACTGTTCCTAGTACTAGGATGGGTTAAAAGCAGAGAGCACATATCACTGTGTGCGCTGTGTGCTCTGCATGTGTGACCATTAAAGAGGGTTGCATCCCTCCGATTCTATCTAACGCTGTAGAAATGCCTACGGGAACCATGTTGGGATAAGTATCTTAGCACTTAGACATTTTGACTACACTGGTTAGGGATCAAACCACTGGCCCTCTGATTGGTGGTAAAAGCAAGGTTTATATACTGCAGTTCAAGTATGTTGATAGATAACTTGCAAGCTGTCACTTCCAAAAAAATGTAATGTTTTTTGACAAGTAAAAAGTCACGTTTGAATCAAATCTCAATCAATGAGAATACACAAAGCAGTTAACCCATAGGAGGAAGTTAATAAAACAACTATTATCGATACAACATTAGAATAGCTGAGTCAAATCTTACATCAGGTCAGTATAAGTGCAGTTCTGGCAAATCAGAATGACTAAGAACAATCGGGGCAAACTAAATTCAAGCCAGCAGACTCTCAAGCGAAGTAGCAAAGTGTGAAATCAAAATCTAACCTGGAACACGGTGACGATGGCCCACAGCAGAGAGTCAAAGTTCTTGCGGTCGGGGACGGTGTCTCCGTTCTCCATCTCGTGACTGAACTTACAGCCGAACAGATGCATGCCCAGTATACTGTGGGAGATAAGACGATGCAGTCATCCTTTGGGGGTCTTAACAAATGAGGAAGTTTGATGTGTGTGTGTGTTTGGTGTGTGCATACCTGAAAGTGAAGATGAAGAGCATCAGCAGCATGCAGAAGGTGGCCACGTTGTCCATGGTCTTCATCAGCACCACTAGCTGTCTCCTCAGGGCGGGCAGGAAGCGGACCAGCTTCAGAACCCGCAGCAGACGAAATGTTCGCAGGACGGACAACCCCCCGTCTGCTTGACCGATTATCTCCCACACACTGAGGAACACACACCGAATGTGAGATACAATACTTTAGGTTTACTGTAGTGCACAACCACTATATGTAAACATAACTCTATGGAAAAGGGCAACATTACAATGTGTTACCCATGTTGAGTAGAAAGAAGATGATAACAAACATCTAACAAATTCCAAATACAAGATAATTCACAGACTTCTTGTTTCCTATCATATGTGCTCCACGGGCCGTCCACACTACAGCTTCGACAGCTTCAAAAACGGTTTCCAACGCGTCTGCCCATTCACTTTGAATGGGGTGACGTCACGTTGCCTCGCTTTTCGCCGAACTGAATTGTGGGTAGCATAGCGGTCCGTCTCCGGCGTCAGAAGTTGAACAATGTTCAACTTCTGACGCCGGAGACGCCGGAGTAGCCAGCGCCAGCCAATCAAATCCCGTTTCTGAAAATCTGACAGCTCAAGCCCTAGCCAATCAAACCGCGTCTAAGCTGGGAGAAATATCCCGCCGTTCATTTCTATATTTAAAAAAAAGATGGAGGAGAAACTATTTATCGCCGTAGCAAATCACCCCGGTTTTGTATGACCAGACCCTCTTCACCTACCGGGATACAACCCGGAGGAACCAGGCATGGAGGGAGGTGGCAGAGACAGTGGGTGAAACTGGTAGGTTTTCACCTGTTTGGGGAGTTTATATATATATATATATTACTCACATAAAATCCCCGGGGTTTTTGCTTTGTATGTCGGGGGCGGGAGATTCATGTGATTGGTTGTTGGTCGCGTTGCTCGAATAAAATCCCCAAGCTTCAGACACGCCCAGCTCCAAGCTTTTTTTGAAGCTGTAGTGTGGACGCTCCGTTAGTTTGTGGTTGTGCCCTTAAATTGAAACGTTTTGGCTGTCAATTCAAAGCGATTAAAAAAGTATTTTGAATAGTTATACCTCTAAATCCATCTAATTTTGTTCTGGGATTAGACACCAGTTATGAACCCAGACACAGTTATAATCTAAGAATCCCCTATTAGCATGGTTTGAACAACTAATGTCCATTTTGCCATTGGAGAGATTATCATATGTTTTAAGAGGAAGTCGATGAGTCTGTAAGGGACTGGTAAAAAATAGCATTAACCACGAGTGTTGGTACTATTGGGGTAACAAAGATATCAGTACTCACTTTTTCACAATTTTTGTTCAGTGGTGTTTTGCTTTAAGTGTAGGTCCTTGTATCATATAATCTAACAACTGTTTGATGCTAATATGTATATTTTAGCATTTAAAAGCAATGCTTATATGAATATGCTAATAATATGTTACATATATTATTGTCTTTAAGATACTTAGTTTGAGTAAATCAGGAGTCTTCAGGGTATTTCATATTCAGAACCACAAGTAACCCAACTGCACGTATACAGAAGTCCCCTGATCCAATATGGGCTCTTTTAAACTCGCTGACAGCCAGACAGTACACCTCGACTCCTTTCAGGATCAAGAGTCTCCTGCCCGTGTGTGATCCATCCAGAGTGTGTCAATCTTAAAAGGTACACACTGCGGCAGTGAACCCAATGATTGACAGTCAGGAGAAGAAATTGGATCCGGGACTCAGTTGTCTCGTTGGTGAAATCTACACTGTTGGAGCCATTGTTCTGGTGTATTTGCATTCTGTTCTTGTTTTGGATTTTGATGATATCAAATGTTATTCTCAGAGATATTTTATTACCTGATGATCACGATGACGCTGTCGAATATATTGTATGGGTTCTTGATGTATCCGAACAAGCCAAAAGCCAGCAGCATGAAACCCATCTCCAGGACGAACATGCTGGTGAACACGATGTTACTGATCTCCAAAACATCAGTCAACTCCTCGGGCTGGGGGAGGGGGGAGAGGGAGAGGAAAATAGGGATGGTTAAAAGAAGAATGAAAGAAAGCAAACGTGAGCAAAATAGAAAGCAAGCAAGACAGTAAGGAAGCAAGGAGGCAGAAAAGTAAAAGAAGGAAAGAACAAGTTAGTTAATATCTTCACACTTTATTTTCCCTGAGTTGTAAAAGCCTGTGTGTTTTTGAGCTGAGACTTTATAAATCCAGTTCAGAGTACGGTCTCGCCCCATCACTCAAACAGGACCGGCAGCAGCAATCCATCAGTGTTGATCTGCTCCGCTCACAGAACAGTACAGGCAGTGATCCAGCCCGTCGTAAAGCATGTAGTCTTTTCAATGAAAACACAGCAGTTTTGTGCTCCGGTAAACGCATCATATGATTTTTTTTTATTGAAACATTTTGCCAGCGCTGCATCATTGATCTCAACGTGCTGCTTCAGGTTGAAAGCTGTGGATTGGGTTCTATTTCTTTCTCATTTCAATATCCATCTATCCAAATCAAAGCATTAAATGAACCAATAAATTGCATCAAATAGATTTTAACGCTTGTCTACAAGGTGGAACAGAGATCCACAATTAAATCTACATATCTAATCATTGTGTTAATCTCTTGTAACAATCCTACTTTTCCTTTTCCTGGAGTGTTTTATAAATCAGTGCAGCTCTTAACTATACATGCTTACAGTGAGCCTGGAAGTTTAAAAAGCCATTTAGCTTCTGGTCCCACATTTTATTTTCATGGCAGTCTCATTAAAACTCATTGGGATTCTTTTCATGTGGGGATCAACTGGGAAGAAGAAAACACTTTGTGTCCCAGCCCAGGGAGAATACAATCCAGCACACCCAATTCCCAACTAATAAACATTGAAGTATTAATATATAAAATCCCAGATGTCCTGCTACAGCAGCAGAACAGGGTTAACCTTCAGTTTGTGTTATTGTGCACGATCAGTAACCTGCGGAAACATCAAGAGTTGGCCTATTTTCTTCGTTGTTTGTCAACGTGTTATACACATACATATGTTGAAGCTGAATGAAGCTGGAGGCAAATGAGGGGTTTCCCTTTCACAAAGACACTAGTCAATTCATCATCGTCATCATCCATATAGAGTGCCACAGTGACACGTCCTAAAACCCGGAAGTAAGTTAGCATTTTACGATAGATCTAATCTAATCGATGGATTTATGATCGATAGATTTATGATTCGAAAGTAGGGTACACATGTGGGTATTATCCGGCTGAACAAAACGTGATCTGTTAATGTGTTTCAACCACAGACCTTATATCCAGCTATTTTCCAAAATCCTATGGAGAAATCCCATTGGTTTTTGTCGAAGGAACCGGAAGGAGTTTACATCCGGGTTTTAGGACGCGTCACTGCGGCACTCTATTGATAATTTCCTATTATATTAAAGATGATTCTTTCAGGCATACTTGCATTATTAAAAGCAGTACATTCTACTTACATTTACATCCAATTATCACAGATAGAGGGCGCCAGACTACACACACACCTTCCCCTCTCTCAAACCACCTACACACTCATCTCTGCTGTGAAGATATATATTTTTTACAGCCACATTTCAAGACCCAGACTTGTTTCCTTTTGAAAGACAAGCTGTTTAAACTAAGTTTATTTTATAGAGTGTATGTTTGACATCCTTCACATTTGCTCCAACCACACTGCAGTACTTCCACTTTAGGGCATTTAACCGGAAAATCATGTACTTTCTTTACTCCACCACAATCAGCCTTTACTTACATGTGGATGACACATTCTGCATGATAATTAACTTGATTGTAATGCTATAAAGACGTTTTTTTTCTTTACTTACTTAAGTCTCGGCATGCATAACTTTAACTTGTAATGAGGTATGTTCATTTTATAGTGTATTTCATTGATTATTTCAATACTTATTGTATTTGAATACAGCTAATACAGGTAGATGTTGAGATGTCAAACAGATAAACTACAACTCTCTGTATCTTTATCAATTTCATGGATATTTCTTGTAAGCCAAATCCATCACTGTATGATTCAGTGTATTGATACGTGACCCAATTCTATGCTGTGATTACTACACACACACAGACACACTTTCCCCCCAACTTTTTCTGATCCATTGCTTAGCTGTCTCTTATAAAGTGCAGTAAAGGGTAAGTGTGTGTGTCTGGGTCGAGGCACCCTGCTGAGCTATTACTTCCATTACAGCAGTAGTTTGACGGAGCTTGAAACTGCTATAGCTTGTATAACTGTGACCTCAGTGTCAATATGAACTGCTGTATGTGCAGTGCGGGGTTGTGTAATCTAACGCATGCAGCTTCCCTTTTTTTGTTGCATTACTATTTTGGGCTGATGAGCTTTTGAGTTAATTGGGACAGTCGTGATGCTTTGAAAACCAAAGCAGTAACACCAGGGGACCCTATCACAACTTTTGGAGTTCCGCATGGTGAGGTAGAACAATGCCATGTTTTTTTTTATTTATTTAAAGAGCTGGGCAGACAATTGAAAGACTTGCCGCCTGGCTGTTCGTTCAAATTGTCTTTTACTGACCAGCCAGCAGCACATACATTTTTTTAAAGCTCCTCACCAAAGCTTTAAAAGAGCTCTCTGTCAGCTATCTGAAGCCGTCACAATACTAGAGTCACATACATTATTATATAACAGTGGACTAGAGGCTTTTTCATTACCTCTGTGGTTGACACACCGGAGAAATGAAAGAGCTTATTGCTGACTTGCAGGGCAATAATTTCCATACGCTACACAGCAGTTTTTATTGCTGCTATACGTATCTTTACAGTGAGTTGGGAGGGGAGAGTGCAGAATGGCCAACAGGAGAATTCAAATATAACACAGCAATAGCCAAAGGGTTGGAGGTTTAAAAATCTCAATAAGCATGCACGACCCAATAATCCTAATGTCTTCTCTGCTTTTAGGCTTTACTCAGCACACTGAATTCTGCTTCCTGTTCTAGTGGATTGACAAACGTGTGAAAACGTTCAGTAGCTGGTTGAGTTTAAAGGTTAGAAAAGACGATTGTATTCAGGTCCAGCGGCGAGGGAGACAAATGTGGGAGGGGGTGAAAAGGAAAAGATCTCTCCCCTCTGTTAATACATCCCATCAACCTGCCGTTGAGATGTCAGCCTAATACAACGGTGCACTTTGTTTTATAGTAGCAATAGATTGCTGTGATCATTAGCAACTGAGTGATTTAAAAAGTAATTAGGACGGCCTCTCCTTATGTCAATATGTTTTATGTCTTCAAGCACCCCGAATGAGTGTTCGGAACTATTGCTTTCGACGCTGCTTTCCACCCCCGTCATTACGTTTGACAGACCGAGTGCTCAATCAGAATGAACTACTGTGAGTGCCCGCAGGAAGACATTTCCAACGTGTTTGAATGCCAATCTACGAATGACCTTGCCCTTAAGAATATGAGGAACAAAAGCACAACTGAGATATGCACCTCCCCCACATCCATGCATTCATAAATGCATAGATATGTAGAATTAAGGGTTTAACACCTAAGCCTTCAACAACATGAGTATGTTAATCAAATACAGATTGAGATATGGTGTTTACTTTCAAAATAATTTAAACCACAAAAGCTTATTTAAAACTGTTTGTGGGGGTTAAAGAGGTCTTATTATGCTTTGGGGGATTTTCCCTATCCTGTAAATGCCTCCACTTGACTTCTTTGTTTACTTCTGCGACATACTGACATCATTATGTAACTCTTGCGCTTTTATTGTCTAGCGCAGTGCTTCTCAAAGTGTGGTCCGGGAGCACCCCCTAGTGGTCCGTGAGTATATTGGTAACATTTCACATTTGAAATAAATAAATACATTTAAGTTTTCCGCACTCTCGCGGGAATATCTCCGCAATGGAACGAGCTTAAGTTTCACTTTCGATTGCATGATATAGCCCAGCGCAACACCTTCGTCACACATGTTGCCACTTGTTTGTACCATTTTCAGGCGATTTATAATCTGTTCTAGAAAAACGATGTGTTTTGGGATATTTGTGGAGTTAGGTGGTCCGCGAGTGTTTTTTTATTGGTTAAGTGTCCTTGGTATGAAAAAGTTTGAGAAATACTGGTCTAGCGCTATCACACAGAGCAGACTAGCTTACCAATCAGAGCAGACTGGGCTATGGTTTCAGACAGAGGGTGAAAAGAGGTAGTATGAGAGCTTTTTGCATATGAACGTGTCACAATAGAGGCACAAAATGCAAATATAAACATGAAAATGAGCATCATAGGGCCCCTTTAAACAGCTTGTGAGGGTATAATGTTACCGGTAGGATTATTTGAATGTGAATTACCTTTGAGCATAACTATATTTAGCCTTTATTTGTGATTTTGTGTGTGCTTTTAATATAAAAACTACTAGAAAAAGGTTGTGTTCATAATCGTCAGCAGGCAAATGTATAGTCACATATTCCCCAAAAATTAACTTTGAGATTTATCGTCGATGCTGTTATTTGTGAGTGATCAAGTTGGATTTGTGTCATTCATGAACAGCATGTGGTTGCGTATTAAAACTTCAAGTCATACTTTTATAGTATCCTCAGATTCGAGCTTCCAGACGGTGCCTTTGAAATCGATTTTTACACTCACACTTTTTACACTCAACCTCCTACAGACACTTATACACTCGTAGTCTCGTAAAGTTTGGCTGGGTGTCACATGAGAGGGATGAAGGGTACTAAGGGGAGGAGGAACTCTTACATAACTCTTCAGTCCCTGTGAGTGTGTGTGAGTGTGAGTGTGTGTGTGTTATTGGCCCAATAAGGCCATGGCTCTCCCAGTCGCTTCTTGTGTTTATATCACAAAGATAGAAGCACACACACATCCCCTGGAGAGGGAATTAGAGGAGATGGGAGCAAGAGGACACAGAGAAGAGAAAGGAGTGTGTGTGCAGAAGAATCTTGTCTTATGGATTCTACCCATTTGCTGTGCTGCTTGAAAACTAAAAGGTTGTGTGCGTGTGTGCGCATTTCAATTATATTTGGGTGTGAAAACTCTGCAGATAAATGTGTCTGCACAACTCTACAAATGTGTAGAGTGTGTGAAAGTGGGTCGAGGGAAGCAGGAGTTGTATTATTAAGCTGTTCTTTTCCAGATGCTGGCCGCACAGGGTAAACTAGAAACATAATCCTGGAGTGTGACGGAGTGTGTATTTGTGTGTGAGTAAGAAGGAGACAGTTGGTACTTTACTTCTCCACTCTCTTCCTTTGTTCCCTCACCCCTGGCCACCTCCCTGGCTTTTCTCTCCTTTCCTCTCATTATACTCTCAGGCAGCCAAATGCCAGTTTCACAAACAAATGCCGCGTCTGACAGTTCTCATCCAACTACTTGTTTCTCTACAAAGGTCAGAGGATTGGAAACAATGATCTGAACGGTTCACATTTGTCTCTCCCCCACATTTCAGTTGAGTCTTACCTGCTTATGGTACTCTATCCCCATGCTGAGGGTATTGACGAGGATGGCGATCATGATCCCTCGGTTGAAGTATTTACTTTCCACGATCCTCTTCAGTTTGTCCCTGAAGCCGACCCAGGCCCCGACCACTCCGTTTTTATACTCCCTGACCCCTCGCCGTCTGCTCCGACCTCGACCGCTTCTCAGATCTCCCCCCTAGAGCAGAAAAGATAGGGGAGGTGAGAAAGTGAGGCACCAAAGGGATAAACGCTGATAGAGAGTATTGAAGAGAAACTTTCTTTAATTGGTTGTTATATAATTATGATATATATATATATATATACAACATAATCTGAAAGAAACCTATAAATTACAGTATTTTTGTTTAGTGTCAAAACTTTCAAGTGCAATTTCTTATTGTTTGGGCGTGACAGGGCGTACATTTCATTGTTCATTTAATCGTTTATTTGAACCGGGACAGTGCACATTAATAAACATTTTAAACAAAATAATGCTTTTAAATGTACATACATTTGCCAAGTTTCACCCACTGCACCCACTGCAGTCCAGTAGAGGGCGGAGTCTGTGTCAGTTAGTACAAAGGTTACGTATTGTAACCCTAGTTCTATAAGCACAGGTGGAGCCCTGTGTGAACAGATTAAGAGAGCACTGCAGCTTTATCAGTTTCTCTGGATTCACTATTTATAGGTATGTAGATCAGTACAATTATTGTTTTTAAATGTTATTCTGTAAACTACTTGGGATCCAACAGACAATGGAATGAAATGGCTGTAATACGTGTAGAGATTGAGATTCAAGAAAAACTTGAAGTGGTCTCTTAATTTGTTCCAGAGCTGTATGTATAGCCTTATATACTGTGTTGTCCACATATTCGGGGAGGCTCGTCCTCATTTGCTGGCTACGTTACAAAAGGCCTCCTGTGCTTATAGAACTAGGGTTACAATAAGTAACCTTAGGGTCATCCATTGAGCACTATTATTAATGCCAAATCCCCACTTCCACAACCTTCCTCCTCACTGTTTACCATCATCGTCAGTGCACCCCCGCACAGTCTGACCTGGGGGAAGTCGTGCAGTCCGTCCGGCTCCCCCCTGCCTCCCTCCAGGTCTCCCAGCTCCAGCTCCAGGGTCTCCAGGCTGCGGGCGCACTGAGGGCAGCTGAGCAGCTCCAGCAGCAGAGGGCTGGGCACCACGCCCGCCAGCTGGTACAGCAGCCGCTGGCGACCTGGGGGGGGGGAACGGGTGGAGACTGTCAAACAGTGCAAATGGGTTTATACAGGCTGTCCTCATTCGAAGCTGCTGTGTCATTAGCTTTCAGAGAAAGTCAAACATGATAGGAGTTCATGCTTGATCCAAGCCAATGTTTGGGGGGCAATGGGTTCATATCTATATGGTTGCTAGATTAAATTCACAAATTATAATGTCTTAATATTAAATAAAATATTATCTTTGCATCATTACTGCAAAACTATCCTTTACTGCATTATCTTGTGTGTGAATTATTATGTAAAGCACTTTTAAGAGCCTTTTGTCTACAGATGTGCAATATAAATAAACTAACCTCAACCATCATCTTCAATTGACTTTCAATTCCATCATTTTAGAAAACCATAAACATATAATATATACATAAACAATAATATAGTCAAACTTTATTCAACAGAATTCAGTCAACAACCTCCTCCTACAAAGTGGAGTAAGTAAGTAGCCTCTACAGAGATTGGAAATGGCCATGGAATAAAAAACTAAAATAGATACAGATACAGACAGCCAGCAAAAAAGACCCACCTATCTCGAAAGTACAAAGTGACACACTGCCACATCAACAGGTTACCATGACGCATCAGGGCCTCTCGGTCAGCATATTGCCAGAGAGCAAATTCTTGGTAATTGCATTTGACTTACAATAATCCCTAGCAGAACAAATGTTGTCAACATGTCTCGATAATTCATCCCCTAGGTAAGGTCAAGCTACAACCAAGGATGAATGCCTGAAGCTGATGGCAGCTGGAATGAATGAATTGGCTTTGTTCCTTGCCAAAGTTATTTATTTTGTGTAATTCAGTCAGACAACTCACGTGTTCCTTTAACATGTTTATTAGAAGCAGCATATAGTTGAGTTTGGCGACTAGGCTCGGGCCTCATCACTACACAGATATACATAGCACCATGAGTGATGATTAAATAACTAACCCCCGAGCCTACAGGTGGAAGCTGGGGTGGTGGTGGGGCAGCGAGCAGCAGCAAGCAATGCATAGAGAGAGATCTGGCAGGTTCAATAGAGCGGCGTATTAAGGAGACTCTGTTTGGTTGGTTGTAGAGTGGCAAGGGGCATCATGTATGAATGCAGCATAAGTGCTCGAGTTGACTGCCTGAACTAGCTCGCAGGCTTCGCCCCATTTGTGGCATGCATTAAAATGTGGCAATCATTTAAATAAATTGTGGTAACAAATGATATCTCACACTCCGTAGTTAACCATAATAACGGAAAGGCCACAAATGTATAAATGGTGGCCTCTACTTATTTAGATGTTGTCTAAAGCCACTCCCAGGCTCCTGAGAGGCCGTACACAGAGCAACAAAGTCCATCAATGGTTCTCTGCCAAGCACTTCCTGCTGCTTGTTAAACTCAATGTTGTGAGCGTTGGGTAATTGAAGGTGACTCATATGAGGACAACATTGTTTCTTCTCTCATTTCTTCTTCAAGACATGCTTCCTTTAATGGTGACTGGACAATAACATCGGGTGGAAGAGAAACACGCTGCAGTTGGAAATAAAAACCACAGCAAGAAGCTCTAAACACAGCGGTAACAGAAACACTAAAAAGTGCATGCAGTGTTGAAGGGGTGTCCTATCTGAGTAGAGAGCCAAAACGAGCCTCTTTGCGCAGTGAGCAGTGAAACTCGCCCACAGTCCTGTACGAGGACTCACCCTCTGTTCTCTGACTCCATCCTGCTCAAACCAGTTTAAAGGAACCGCAAAGCTGCTCAACATTACATTACATTGCATTTAGCTGACGCTTTTATCCAAAGCGACTTACAATAAGTACATTCGACCAGGCAGACACAACCTTGAAGAAAACAGAATCATATAAGTATATCAGGTTTCATAGAGCCAAACATTTCAAGTGCTACTCAACTGGCTTTAGGTAAGCCAGTCCTTTATTAGTATAAAAGTGCTTCGTTAATCGTTCTAACGCTCGAAGTGGAGTCGAAAGAGATGAGTTTTCAGTTTGCGCCGGAAGGTGTGCAAGCTATCTGCCGTCCTGATGTCAATGGGGAGCTCATTCCACCATCTTGGAGCCAGGATAGCAAACCCACGTGTTTTCGCCGATGGGAACTTGGGTCCCCCTCGCAGCGAGGGCGCAGCGAGTCGTTTGGCTGATGCAGAGCGTAGTGCACGTGCTGGGGTGTACGGTTTAACCATGTCCTGGATGTAGGAAGGGCCAGATCCATTCGCAGCATGGTAAGCAAGTACCAGTGTCTTGAAGTGGATTCTAGCAGTTACCGGAAGCCAGTGAAGGGAGCGGAGGAGCGGAGTGGTGTGGGAACATTTAGGAAGGTTGAAGACCAGACGAGCCGCTGCATTCTGGATGAGCTGCAGAGGTTGGATGGCACATGCAGGTAGACCAGCCAGGAGGGAGTTGCAGTAGTCTAGGCGTGAGATGACGAGAGCCTGGACCAGAACCTGCGTCGCTTTCTGAGTCAGCTGGGGACGTATCCTCCTGATGTTGTAAAGCGTGTATCTGCAGCAGCGGGTTCTGGAAACATGACTTCTGGAAACATCAGCTCTTCAAAAGCTGATACATCTAACCATAAAAACAGGCTTGTGAGAGTTATCATCACATGTCATTGACTTTGATAACCTCCAAATTCATTTCCAAGTCTACTTAGTTGTTTTGAGACCAACTCTTGACAGTTTGCATCCATACTAATTCTTTCAGCAAATGCCTTCAAGAGACACAATATTGTCTGGCAAACTGCTTGTTGAAATTCACCCCAACTTCACATCACTTTATATTACATTAGGGTTGGATTAGATTGCATTTAAACTACAATTCGATTTGACAGCGCCAGAAAATGTTCCCAAGAAAAGCACAAAGAGGCTTTTCAACCCCAAACAGCACTCCAACTCTAACCCATCACATCGCAAGGCCCAACATCATCTGACAGAGCTGAAAACAAATCTGGAGACATTTAACTGCTTTAGCTTTCACTCAAGTGCAAAGCATTAAATCACACATTAGTAGTGTTGCTCTCACTCGGCGAAGGATTTGTATCGACTCTTTAACACTTTGAACACACTTGTGATGTTTTAAAGCCTCTTCCTGCACTCTTCCTAATCACGTTCTTCTCTGTATTTATCCCGCGTCACGCAGTCTTCTCGGCAGTAAGGAACTAATTCATGTGCGCTTAATGATGTTTGGAGTGTCGGCAGCCAGCAGTGTGTAAGTGTGTGTTTGTGTGAGCTTGTTAGGAGTTTCCCCTCATTAGGACAGAAGGGAGGAGTCTATCTATCTGGCTGCTTTTTCATTTTTCCTCTGCAACCAACAAAGTTTGATGTTGTCCGTTTCTCTCTCTGCTGCATGCCCTCCCCCCAGCTAACCCTCCTTTCTCGCTCCCTTATTAATCCAATGTATTTTTCTCAATGCCTTCCCCTTCTAGCCCATCCATCAAAATCTAAATATTTGATGGCTCTCTTTTGAACTCCATCTGCTTCTTCTCCCACAGAATAACAGTTTGTTTATGTTACTTTAAAGTGCCTTCTTTTCTCTCTGCCCTGCCACTCCCCCCCCACACGGTGTTGATTCCTCCAATCCTCCTCTTTATCCACCTCTCTGCAAACACACACACACACACACACACACACACACACACACACACACACACACACACACACACACACACACACACACACACACACACACACACACACACACACACACACACACACACACACACACACACACACACACACACACACACACACACACACACACACACACACACACACACACACACACACACACACACCATGTATACATCACTTCAGGGGACATTACATTGACTTACATGCATTTCCTGGAGACTTATCCTAACCTTAACCAAAACCAACACATGCCTAACCCTAACCCTAACCCTAACCAAGTCTTCACCCTAAAATTAATGATTCCCCTCATGGGGACCTCCAATTTGTCCCCATAAGGGCGGCGAGTCCCCACACGTGACTGTGTAAACAGATTTAGGTCCCCACAAGTATATTAATGCTAGACCACACACACACACACACACACACACACACACACACACACACACACACACACACACACACACACACACACACACACACACACACACACACACACACACACACACACACACACACACACACACACACACACACACACACACACACACACACACACACACACACACACACACACTTCTAAAGAGGCCAGAGGTATTTGCTCAAGGAACAAATTAAGAAAACAATATTTTGGAACCAGAGGGAAAACAGTATCAAGTATCAAGTAAATGTTAAGAAGGGAAATTAAAGTAAAGCGAAACCCACTCAAAATAAAAACTAAACTGCTCCTCTCAGAATGGCAACGGCCTTAAAAAGGGGCATGTTTGAACTCTTATTTCTCAGGCTGTCTTTTGACTCAGTCAATGCCCTATTTTATTTACTCTTTTTTTTGTAATCCCTTAAGTATATTGTTATTTGCATTGTTGGAGGAGCCTGGGACTTAAGATGTCCGCCAAAACTACACTGTAGCTATGGTGAATATGACAATAAAGCCTTTGAATATCATAATCTTGAAGCAACACTTTAAAATGTTTTGAAGCTGAGCCAGGCTCCACTCTGTAAACTACATTTCTATACTGTATAACCACCATAGCCTCACACACACAGACTGTTATATCTCTGATGTGCAGAAATACTGCCTGTAAACGTACAACTTTGAGCAATACCACAGCTCATGTGAAATATAAAGCCACGTCCAATGTATGCTTTCTTTTTCTTCCTTTCAATATATTTACAATTTGTAAAGGTTACCAGCTTCTTGAATATTTTGATATGGTCACATTTTCCAAAAGAAATACGACTACTTACCTTTTTCACCACGGCGTACTTATCTGCTATTTACATTTAATTATTGTGTTTTATTAATAATAAGGTCTGCTTACTTTTTTATATAATATGTTAATCTACTTGTTCTACTTTAATACGCACTGTACTGCTGCAATGTTAAAAAAAGCCAAACTTTGATCTTAGAAAAAGGCCCTCAAGAAACCTTACGGTGATGTAAAATGTTTACATTAATTTAGTTCTACAATCAAGGCTTTTTAATTGTATGGAATGTGTCAGTGTGTGTGTGTGTGTGTGTGTGTGTGTGTGTGTGTGTGTGTGTGTGTGTGTGTGTGTCCTCTTACTGTGCTGTCCCATGAGCTGGTAGAGCTTGTTCAGTGTCTCTGTGTGTTCAGACGCCGGGTGGTTTTGGGGGTGATGCTCCGGGCTGTGACCCCGGTGCTGGGAGTGGGGGGGGCGGGGTCTTGCTGCTGTAGCTGCACACAAACGAGGGCAGGATGGTGGGGTAGTTCATGCCCCCGTTCAGTCGCCCCAGCAACGCCCCCATCCCCTGCGTGATGACCGACGGCCCCCCCGCTGCTATTCCCGTTTGTACTTCCTCTCCGCACAGGAAGCGACTTCATCTCAAGCTCCTCCCCTCCTTCTCCGTCCGTGTGCTCGGCGGTCGCCACGGTGATGGTGGTGTGCTGCCCCCCGTTGCTGAGGCGACAGTGCTGGTGCTGATGGTGCTGCAGGAGGTTGTGGATGGGTCTGAGCCACAGAGCGTTCCCCGGACCCCCGCCCCCTCTGCTGGAGCCGTGGCCGTGTCCGTTCCCCCCCCCGTTACTGCCCGCACCGCCGCCGTTAGGGTTCACCTTTTTACGCCTTTTACTGGACAGAGGACAGGAGACATTAAACATAATTAATAACTAAATAAGGAAGATTACCAACACCTTAATTCCGTATTGTCCGGACTATAAGTTGCGCTTTCTTTAGCTGTCTGGCTGGTCCTGCGACATATACTCCGAAGCGACTTATATGTTGTTTTTCTCTTAACGACATCTTTTTTGATAAGAGCGACTTATACACAGGTGCGACTTATAGTCCAGAAAACACGGTAAATAGACTGCATTTATTGAGCACTTTCATCGTTTTAACCTCCCATTACAGCTCTTTTTACATACTGTCATTCTGTGAGATTCAAAATGATCAGAGCACACAATTATAAAATGAGGAAAACAATGTGGTCATTTCAAAGCAGGGATGTTATCCTGATACTTTGAACAGTCACCCTCTTAATAATACAGGAAATCTTCAAGCATGTGTGAAATGAGTTCAACACAGGTTATAAACGTTCAATGTCTAACAGGGTTGCCTTGTACTTAAATTACAACAGATTTTTCAAGAAATTGAAAAAACACAAATTCTCTAAAGCAATAAAGCACCCCTTTAACTTCACTTCCTGTCACTGATATGTAACTGGATATTCCCACACGTAGAAAAAGTAACAATGCCACCAAAAACTAAAGTGCCATATCCAACCTGTGCCACCCGGAGTATATCCTCTGCAGCCTGCGTGAGAACTTGCGATAAAGGTGGCTGATGTAGCGTAGCATCTCCTCGTAGCACGAGCCGGGTTCGCTGTAGCTGGCGAGCGTGGAGTCGTTGGACATGTAGCGAGCACGCTGTTCCCTCATCAGGGCGTTCTCCCTCTGCTTCGTCTCCGAGAACTGGGTGGCGATGACCACGAGGCACAAGTTGATCATGAAGAAAGAGCCCACCTGGTTAGAGAGGTAAAGCATGGATTAATACAGCGAAATCATTGCAATGGTATATGAGCAGTTGAGTTAGAAAAATGCTGTTACAAGTGTGTGAAAATGTCCCCTTGTTGTTAAACTACTGTTTAATTCTAGGAACAATTACCAGATTGACTTCATCCCCCTTAGAGGTGTACATAGAGTAATAAAACACTGCGTCAACAAGAAGCCAAATTAGGGCTTATGCATTATTAAGGTCCAGAAATGTGTCTAGATCTAGGATGATATAAATGATTTTGTTTTTATCCTTGCTTTGAAATCTTAAAATCTAATCAGACTGTGATACGAAGGCTTTGACAGGAATTGAAAAATATCTTTCAACTTTATAAAGAAAAGTATATTTAAGAGGCCATTACAGCATGTTATTAAAAGACTGATTGGAAATGAGATGGGCACTTTCTACAGATTTCTTCTAAATCTTTCTCCGACATCTCACATCTATCTTAATTTTACTCTCAACCACTGTCTCTATGAATCACTCAGATGTTTCAGCTCTTTCTCCATCCCCTTTCCCTCTAAATGTATTATAAGCACTTTAGCATCAAACGACAAGGCATGCAAGGAGCTCATACTGCATTGTGATATATAGCTGGAGCTGGCATCTTTGAAAACCCCAACAACTGCAGGATGAAAGTGAAATTATGCACGATAAGAAGTCTGACTGAGAGGTTCAAGAGAGGAGAGTTGTGCTCAAAGCAGAGTCTTGTGATTTTCTTTAGAAAGGTTATTCTGGGTTTAGCAAAGCAGGACTGAAATGCAAGTACACAAAAATATCTTTAAGGAGCAACACGGTATATTTATATATGCAGTTGTTTTAGCTGCTATTGAGCTGTATAAAGCAAGCAGGACAAAAGTATTGTTGCAGATCAGAGTTCAGAGTGGTATTGTTGTCGATAATAGTAGATACAAATAAAATGGCAAACATGAGTTCATATTCTGAACCCACTTGTAATTCATGTGCAAAACGTGTTGATCAGTCCTAAAACAAAGTCATTTTAGAAAGCTTTCGTAAATCAGGATAACGGTGAAAAATTGGCGCCATGGTTTTGTTTTGGTTCAAACTAGACCCATGTTAGTCTATGTAGATATTTTGACCCAACCAAAAGTCTATTTGTTTATGTACTGGCATTTTAATCCTAGTAACACATTTAAATAGGAGAAAAAGCTTGTTATCTCAAACTGAAATAAACACAAGACGGTACTTACGATAATGAGCAGTATAAAATATACAAAATTGTAGAAGGAGTGAGCGTCCATGACATAGTACATGATATCTACCCATCCTTCCAGTGTGATGACCTGGTGGGGGGGACGAAAAGACACAGGAAGACAGACATTTTATTAGAATAAACGAGAAAGCGGGAAAAACGTTCCTATGTAGATCGCTTTGTCTTCAAAAACACACACACCCTTAAATAAACTCAAAGTACACAGCAAAGTTTGATCCAGTACATTTCTAAGTCTGTTTTAAGCCTGTGGTGACGCTTCAATCTCTTATATGTGTGTGCGTGTGTGTGTGTGTGTGTGTGTGTGTGTGTGTGTGTGTGTGTGTGTGTGTGTGTGTGTGTGTGTGAGCCTGGGGACTGACGCAGCTCTCTCATGTAGCCACTATGCTAATGAGCGGTGGAGATGCTGAGACCTGAAAGGGAGGCTCAGCTCAGCCAAGCCTTTAATACACTCACACCTCAACATTTACACCTCAGCTTACAGCACAGTGTGAGCACGTGACAACTGTATAAGCAAACGTACAGTAAATAAATGTCCAAACACATATGGAACAGGCACGTGCATGCAAGTATTCCGACGTATGTATTTTTGAAGAATCGTACACAGATATACCATGAAAAGATACCACAAATGTGTATAATGCACACACACGCATAACGGAGACACACAAAGACCCAGAGGCGACTAATCCGCTCTCTGCTGGAGTGCTCTCCTGCACCAGATTTGAAAAGAGCAGAGGATTCTCACTATTGAACAAAAATACATCTGTTAAATCATGAATACTGAATGGCCTACAGGGCATACGCCTCGGGCCCAAGGTGTCAAGGGCCTTTCCATATAAAATGCCATTACAAGAGACGCAACCCAATCAGGAAGAGACTCAAAATGACCACAACAAAAAACAAAAAATCACAAAGACACACAAAACATCTAGAAGGAGAGACATGGAATCACAACGACTATGAAAGGGTGCAATACATCGCAAAATCACCACAAAGACAAACAAGTAAGACAATTAGACTACATTGTGTGTTTTGCTTCTTTGTATTGAGAGAGGTGGGGAGTTCTTAAGCAGGTCCCTGTCATTGTTTCATAAGAGATATATGTTTTATCATTGGGGATCCTTTTATTCACTATGAATGAGAGTGAACAATAAGATGTCAGACCAGGCAGATATTCAGTCAAGGAAAAACATGGCATGTAAGGCAATCTGAGTTGAACAGACTCATTCATACAAGATATCAAGAATTGGAATTTGATCAACAATACAAGGACATCATCTTCTTTACAAAAATGAGAGAAAGGTCAATTCATAAAGGACAATCACTTCATGAGCAGCACTTCTAAATGTTCCTCTTGTTTCAAGCCATGCTGTAAAAGTCAATGATATGCATCGCGAATAGAGAAGATTCTCAGCTGGCATGGGTTTAATTTAAGAGGTAAAACGCAATAAACTGAACAAATCTTCTGCTCCTGACAGACTTTGAAAATCAGAGATAGCTAGCGAGCGAGCGAGGGCCGAGCAGAGAGCATGTTGGAGCTGTCGTTTGTGAAAGGCCTAACCAACACATCGTGAAAGAGCCCCAATGGATATTCCTGACACAATTGACAACTAGTCACCCTCTGTGGAGCGGGCCGATGTGTGTGTGTGTGTGTGTGTGTGTGTGTGTGTGTGTGTGTGTGTGTGTGGTGTGTGTGTGTGTGTGTGTGTGTGTGTGTGTGTGTGAGGGAGGGAGGGAGCGAGGTCAGCAGTCATTAACCTGCAGGTTGATAGAAACATTGGCTGAGATGTCTTCACTCTATTAGTCCTTCCTCTTCTCCACTAACAAAGGTCAGTCTATTCCCTGGCTGGTTCAGGACTGGTTATCACCTGACATCCTTCCATAAAGTCATTTCTTATCACACACACACACACACACACACACACACACACACACACACACACACACACACACACACACACACACACCACACACACACACACACACACACACACACACACACACCACACACACACACACACACACACACACACACACACACACACACACACACACACACACACACACACACACACACACACGGTGGGAGTTTACGAAGCCAAAGGTATGTGGTGGGTAGGGTACCCATCGTGACTTGGAGTCCCAGGGTAACCCTGAATTAACTCAATTTGGGACCACAGGCTGAAATGTTTTCAGAAACTCTGCGGAAATGTATAATTCCTGTTCTGTATATTTACAGATACTACGGGAATAAGGCTGTAGACTGGAATAACAAGCCGAGCAACCCATTTAACATTCGTAGAGCCTTCTGTCTTTCTCCAATCTCCCTGTGTACCTCAATCACTTTTATTTTATTTGTATCACTTTCTCTATTGGTGTTTCCACCTACTTGTCAACCAATGGTCTGTATTATGTTTAATTATGTTATGTTTCCAATAATACAACCCCTTTAGATAAATAAGATTTAGTTTAAAGAAAGTTTTTCTCAAATTGTAGGGGAATAGAATAAACTCTATACATGCCCTGCTTTAAAATTAATCTCATCTAAGACCTAAAGTGATGCTTGCTAAACCATCACAAATGGGAAATACAAATCAGCAAATCTGATCTCTAAGCCTCTTACTGTGAGGAGAAACCACACACACACACACACACACACACACACACACACACATCACACACACACACACACACACACACACACACACACACACACACACACACACACACACACACACACACACACACACACACACACACACACACACACACACACACACACACACACACACACACACACACACAAAGTTAAGAGTACCTAACAGGGATTACTGTGGGATGTGAATGTGTGTGCGTCTTCAGTATTCACACTTGAGGGTAAGACGATCTTTAAGTAAGTCCATAATACGCCGTGACATATCCATCAGCGAGTGCTGAATACATCTAATAGATGGGAATTCATATCATATCAGTACAGACAGAGGTAAGGACTGAGATAAGGAAAAGCCTCCCATGGGGGGCTGGGTTCAGAAAGAGGGAAACACATTTCATTGGATGTGGATGAGATATAGCTTTCAGGTGATGATACATGCAATATAATGGCCACAATGAATGATTTTGGAATTTAAACACGTCTTTCACAAAACCTCGTTAACAATAACACACAGTTTGCTCTCCATGTTTTTGCTTCCATATCTACACATAAACCCCTTCTTTCAACTTACACATTATGTATCACTTATAGACTCTTATGGCACTACTTCTATTCTAGTTTATTGTATTTACTTGCATTATTTGTATCAGTTTTATTGTGTTGCACTGTTGGAGGACCTAAGATTGTCGTCGATATAACTAACTGTAGCTATGTACGAATGACAATAAAAGCCTTGAATCTTACCTGGAATATGGCTATCCAGGCGTAGCCGATATTGTCAAAGTTGACGGCTCCCTTGTGAGGGTTTAACTCCCCGGGGCGACACACATTGTAGTACTGGTTCCAGTTAACACACCCGTTCACACTGGCCCCGCCCATTCCCATCATTGCTGAACTGTGTTGGGGAGCGGCCAACGAGCACTCGGCCCCGCCCTCTGTGTGGGGCGGCAGATCGTGGCAGCGCAGCATCCCGTTCTCTCGGGGGGCCGAGCAGATCAACGGGCTCTCCTCACCCTCCTCCGTCATGTAGTAGGGACTGATGGACAGGTTGTACATTCTGCATGGACAAAGAATAACAATAATTAATGCTATGTTAGTATATTTTTGTAGATCTATTTCACTTTTAAGTTGCTGTAAATGTTTGTTGTTGCAAGTTTTTACAGCGTGTTATATTAACAAAGTACTGTAGATACTGAGACTAATGACTATCGCAATGAACCATTGAACATTATAGCACGTAAACATGTCACAGTAGAGGCACAACATAAAAATATGAACCTCAACATTTGCATAATAGGAGCCTTTAAGAATAATTATTCAAGAAAGGGTTAGTCATTGTCTTATGGTTTGAAAATGCTTGCATAGAAAAGAGAAATAAACAAATACTTCCCAGGATCTTGACAGCAACGGTAAATACTACTTTTTCTTACGAAGACAATTACAAAAGTATTTATTGCACTTCTCAACACCTTCTTTCTTTTTGGCAACTCTTCCGAGTGCCAGCAGGTTCAAGGTAAAACACAGAATACAAATCCAAATGGCAGCGCACACCAGTCTACTTGTATTGACACTATTTGATTAAGAAATGATATTTTCTAACAAGAAAGAGCCGAGTAAGCATTTAATATATTGCTTGACCAGAAATTGCAAGTTGACTTTTTATTTATTGCTTCTACTGTGCCATTCACCAATAAGCAGGATCAGATTATCCTTTGGGCCCTTTACAGTGAACTCTTATAATCCTTTTTAAATCAATGGCCTGGCCCCGCCCTACCTCTCTGAGGTGTTACAGCTACACGCCCACTCGCACTCTCAGGTCAGCTGATCAGTTGCTCCTGAGGGTGCCAACAACAAAGTCTAAGCGCAGAGGGGACCGTGCTTTCTCTGCTGCCGCCCCTAAACTGTGGAACGACCTGCCCTTGCTCATCAGACAGGCTCCCACACTGACTGCTTTTAAAACCCACCTCTTCTCCTTAGCATTCAGAAACAAGTATTGTTGCTTTTATTTGCTTTCAGAGGTCTATTGTTTTTATTATATGGCTGTTATTTATTTTTTAATTATTACGTTTATTCTGGTTTGTTTTGTGTTTAAATGTATTTATATTATGTTATGTGAGCTTATCTCTCCGTACAGCACTTTGGTGTGAAGGTTTTAATTATATAAATAAAATTGGATTGGATTGGAATCCTGGATTAGATGTTAGAAAGCAGTGTCATCACTCCTTGAGAGATGATACTGTATATCGTCGATCCTATTAAACAGGCACACATCCAATCACAGATGTTATCTTATCTTTGAACAAAACACCTCCAGCGACAACGACCGACTACAACTCCCACTATGTTTTCACACTGTATTCACTTATCCTGTGTGTTCCCATCTCTCCTCAGAATCTTAATCAGTGGTTTACACTCTTGTCAGAAATCATTTGAAAAATGGGGAAGGACAACCTTGTGTTGTAGAATTTCTCAGAAGCTCAACAATGAAAATACCACTGCAATCATTAGAGACAGAGAATGTTAAACTGACCCCCTGATCCCACCGGAAGCGTCTGCGCTGCGGCTGCGCCGTGCTGCAACCTCCTCCTGCGTCATAACCCACCAGGCGCGTTTCAAAACGTTGCGGAAGCGGAGCGTCGTGTGTGCAGCCTCGCAGTTGTTGGATGAACATTCCACTTCCTGCCTGCGCCGCGCTGCGCCGCGCTGCGCCGCGCTGCGCCGCGCTGCGCCGCGTCAAAAATAGGATTCATCCTATATTTTAGAAATTCGTTGCGGCGAGGAGCTTCTGGGACGCTTCGAGCCGCGGCGCAGCGCGGCGCAGCGGGTCTGGTGGGATAGCACCCATTGACTAGAGTGGCCGCGATCGCTAAAAACGCCGCAACGCAGCGCAACGCAGCGCAACGCAGCGCAGCGCAACGCAGCGCAGCGCAACGCAGCGCAGCGCAACGCAGCGCAGCGCAACGCAGCGCAGCGCAACGCAGCGCAACGCAGCGCAACGCAGCGCAACGCAGCGCAACGCAGCGCAACGCAGCGCAACGCAGCGCAACGCAGCGCAACGCAGCGCAAAGCAGCGCAACGCAGCGCAACGCAGCGCAACGCAGACGCTCCTGGTGGGATTAGGGGGTAAGAGACGGAGAATGTTAAACTAAGAGACGGAGAATGTTAAACTAAGAGACGGAGAATGTTAAACTAAGAGACGGAGAATGTTAACTAAGAGACGGAGAATGTTAAACTAAGAGACGGAGAATGTTAAACTAAGAGACGGAGAATGTTAAACTAAGAGACGGAGAATGTTAAACTAAGTAGCTGTTGCTGTTCATAATCCCTGGAAAAGAACATCTATAACCTCTAATATTTTTCCTTTAATAAACAGTTAAATCGAAGCTATCCTGGAGTGGGGGGTTGGAGTTTGACCAATGATTTTGCAATGCATCTTTTAAAAGTATGTGTTTTTTTTATAAATGTTTACATGGACTGTCCCCCCCCCCCTCCCTTAGGGGAATTCATCCACAGAAAACACACTGGACGCTGCACTAGGTCAGAAACCAGAGGTCCACCGCAGACGGACCACTTTTGGACAAAATGGCCTCTCCATTAAAGGCAGCTCGTTGTGGAACAGCCTCCCAACTGAGATACGGGATTGTCCCACTCTCAATAGTTTTAAAGGTCAACTCAAAGAATGTTTGAGAAACCGCTTAATGCACTTTAACACAGGGGTATCTCCTCTCGCACTTTATGCATCTCTTCTATCTTCTCTTGCACTTTATATGTCGTTGCTGCTATATTGTGGTAGATACTTGTGTGTGCTGCTCTTGCTCTTTTGCATATCATGTATTTATTTATTTTTTGCTATGTTTACAAATGGCATGTTCTTATATGTTGTATGTCAGGGACTACGGATGGAAATGAGCTCAAAGCTAAAATGTGTCATATTTACACTTGAAGCATTATTTGGCTAAAGTGTTCGTTAATGTGCATTGTCCCTATTCAAATAAACGATTAAAGAAATAAAATGCATGGTGTTGAGGCTCCTGCCAAAACTGGAGAAAAGGAAAATGTCTCTTGCTACTTATAAACCCTTCGTTGAGTTTAACTTAGACAATACAAAATGTAAGAATTACAATACCACTTTGTCCTTTAATTCAGTTGGTGATGTACATAGTTTGCACACTTTAATTACAAAGAGAAAATGCCTCCTATTTACTAAAAACAAGCTCCTTATTAAGACGTTTTTTCTCATTTAAAGTTAAACTGCACGTTATAACTCAAAGGACAGTTAGCAAGGCATCTATTAGTATCAATGGGGAGAGCTGTTTCCTACGAGGGATGAAAAAGGTGATGTAAACTTCTTATGTAAACTCCCCCTTTGTTGTAGAGAGCCCTCCACTTCAGCAAAGTGCCTTTTTTGGATGTGAAATTCACTTTTGAATGACTAGTAGGGAGTGATAAATGATCTTACTCCACACCAGACTGTCTATTGGTGGACTACAATTATGTTCCTGCCATTCCTGTTACCCGTTTATCTGCTGAACTGTTAATGTGGATAGTAATTACTGGACGCATTAACGTGCACATTACTATAATGTTGCAGTTTGTTAAAGTGGGGCTAATTTGAATGACTCTGTACTGCTGGTTAGTCGGGATCGGGTGTTATCTTAACCTTTAATGCAACATTAGTATTTAATCATTTAATGTATTTTATATTATTAATCTGAATCTCTAAATAAATGAAGTAATGCTCCATAGCTTCTCTTGCTAACTGGACTTAAACTCCCACTGTACATTTTTACAAATTTGTATTTCCACATGTATATTTTAAAACTTTGTAATGCTATGTTATTTC